ACTTTCACCAAAGGCGCATACGGCGCTTCTACAAAAGTCCTATGTAATCACAGGTGGCCACGGAGCCCTTGGACTTGTTGTGTGCAAGATGCTCGTAGAGGAAGGTGCACGGCACATTGCACTACTTTCGAGATCTGGCGAGCCGTCAGCGGAACTTAGGGAGGGAGATATTTGGCAGTATCTGTTGAGCACGCCACCCAATATCCATGTAGTAAACATCAAGTGCGACGTGAGCAAGAGGGAAGACGTGCTTAGAGCATTTAAGGAGCTTCAGTCTGATGATTGGCCTCCCGTGCGCGGCATATTCCATGCAGCAGGAGTGACTGACGACAAGGCCCTCGCAGAGCAAGACAAGGCATCAATTGAGAAGGTTTATGGCGCGAAGGTGGTGGGTGCTTGGAATTTGCATGAGGTGTGCGATGAGTTGGACTTGAACAAGGACCTCGAAATTTTCTTGATGTTCTCTTCAGTTGCTGCTCTTCTGGGTAACTTTGGTCAGGCGAACTATGCAGCGGCCAACGCCTGCCTGGATTCACTTGCTGCGTGGCGGCGGTCTATAGGTTTGTGCGCTCAAAGTATCCAGTGGGGTCCGTGGGTTGAGCAGGGAATGGCAGCTGGGTTGAGGCAGTGATGAGTTGGACTTGAACAAGGACCTCGAAATTTTCTTGATGTTCTCTTCAGTTGCTGCTCTTCTGGGTAACTTTGGTCAGGCGAACTATGCAGCGGCCAACTCTTGCCTTGACTCCTTAACAACATGGCGCCGATCCTTAGGATTGTGTGGACAGAGTATCCAGTGGGGTCCGTGGGTTGAGCAGGGAATGGCAGCTGGGTTGAGACAGCACATTGACAAGGCTGGCATGATGGGCATAAGCAATGAGTTGGGCGCCAGAGTTCTCATGGACGTCCTAAAGAATCCCCAACAAGCAGTTGTGTGTGCCCAGGCATTGATGTGGCGCAAATTCCTGCGGCGCTACGCTTTCGATCCACCACCGTTTTTCTCAGATGTTTCGACAGTTACAGCAGTTACGTTTAGCACCATGATTGACCTGAATTCTATCAGCAAAGAGGCCCTCGTTGAAATTCTCGTCGACGTTGCACAAGCGGTTTCTGGGTCAACAACGAAACCGAATGCAGCAACCCCGCTTATTGACCTAGGGCTTGATTCCCTCGGTGCGGTGGAATTCCGGAACTCCGTTGCAGAGAAGACTGGGGTGAAGCTTCCTCAGAATCTAATGTTCGAGAATCCCAGTGTGGAAGACATTGCCGAGTATATTCTGAACAGGGCCAGATCACCTGAGGGCGCATCTGGCTCCAGAGGGACGCTGGCAGACACTTTGCAAATGACGATCGACCAGTGGTTGATGTCTGTGCTAGTCCCAGCAGAACGATATGCCTTATATGTAGATTCACTAACTGCATCCTACGGATCTCTCAGCGAGATGGCTTCTGTCGAAGATATTGTGAGCGCACTAGAAAGGCTGGAGGTTTCTGTTTCCGAGGACTTCGACAGGCTAAATGTAGCCTGGGAAGAGCTTCGAGACGCGTATGCCAGCCGTTCTGAAGCAACAACTGCAGTTAAAAGGAAGCCTCGATTGGCAGTCCGGGTGCCTCACCCAACGGAAGACGTTGAGTCATTAATAAACCAACTGACGTTCGATGTGCAGACCCTGGAACCACCTACATCGCCGGAAAACTACCGAACTGCTATGTTAACTGGGGCAACAGGATTTGTTGGACGGATCCAGCTTTCGGTACTTCTGGAAGCAACCAGAGAGTTAGAGGTTGTGTGCATAGTCCGTGCCAAAGATGCGGACCACGCTCTTGATCGGATTCGGCAGGCATGCAAAGAAGCCAAATGCTGGAAGGAAGAGTATTGCAGTCGAATCCACCCCATACCCGGTGATTTCACCCTTCCAAACTTGGGTCTTGAAGAAGAGCAGATGGAGGAGCTTTCCAGAAAAGTTGATGTTGTTTACCACACTGGAGGGGATGTTAATTTACTCAGCAACTACGCCCGATTACGCTCTTCAAATGTGCTCTGTATTCTAGGGATCGTTAATTTTTGCACAAGACACAGGTTGAAGCCGTTGCACTTTGCGTCTACTTTGGGGCAGTTCCCAGCATTCTTTTGTGAATTTACTGGGGCATACAGGGACTATCGTATCACCGAAGACAGCAGACCGACGGTAGAGGAAATGGAGGCCTTTTATCCTCCCCTGCGCATGGGGTACCCTTGGTCGAAGTGGGCAGCTGAATTGGTCTTGTGCAGCGCCAGGGATAAGGGACTGCCTGTGTTCTTATATCGCTTGCCGAATACCTACGTTGCCTACTCTACGGGATACACAAATCGAACCGACTACGCAACTGCACTTATGGTATCTACTATTCAAGAGGGAATTTTCCCAGTAGGGTGTGCCGCTGCTCCACTCACTCCAGTCGATATTATATGTGAAATGCTGGTAAGCAATCCAACCTGTTACTCAGTAGATATGTAGAAAAGTCTTAGTCCATCATAGATTCTCTCAGACAGTTCCTAGGACATATGTGTACGGGGCCCTGCAGGTTGGAGTGTCACTTTTGGAAAAGCCGAAGCATTTCGTCTACCATCTATTTGACCCGCGTGCCATAACAAGGTGAGTTTTGACCCTGTAGGTTATCCAGTCAGGGGAGGGGAAGCTGAAAGTGAAAACCAGGTAAAGCTTCGCTAACTCGATGGTAAATTCGCATGCCGATTTTGCATTTCCAGGGAACATCTGGAGGTCTGGAGTCAAGAGCTTGGGCTGGCGTATAAAGGCGCCAGCGTTGACGAGTTCCTGGCTGCAGTCAAAGCTCGTGGACCCGAATCTCCCGTTTTCAAATTTGTGCCGCTCATGCAGTTCATGAGGAAATATTGGTTTGATTCAGAGCAACGCACTGACGATTTCCCCATAGAAAACAAAAATATTTTCGAGGACCTGCCGGATGCCAAATGGCCAGATCAGAGAGATATCTTCAAAAATTCTCTGCTTTACAGGTGTGCTTCCGTCTGACTGCATCCACTTGTCAAATCCAGTGAGGCATTCTATTTGTGCAGTATGCTTGTTGCAAGTGTGCCGGATTTGTGTGTTCCTCCTCTCAGTGTGCAGTCAGGGTTCTTTCCGAAGAATTCCAAGGCAATTCGGGTGGACCCTGAAGCATGTTTGGAAGATGCAAAGAGAATGTCTGGCTTAGATTCGCTTGGCGAAGACCACGATTATTTCATGAAGCCCCTGCACATCTTGAAGGACTCACTCTTGCAAGAATCCAACCCGTCGTTCTGTGGCAAGTTGGCAATGTTCCGCACTGTTCGCCAGCAGCTGATGAACCTGATGTACATGGAGAAAATGAGAATCGAGCATCCAGAAATAGAACAGCAGGAGATAAAAGAGCCACTCATAATTGTTGGTCTAAATAGGACAGGCACTACGTTCCTACAAAATATTATGGCAACCGACATATCCAACCGCTCAGCTCGTTATTGTGAAATGATTGCTCCTTACGGCAACAATGGCGACTACTGCCAGAAGGGCCTTAGCAATGACCCTGAGTCATGGAAGCACGTGCGTCACATCACAAGCCACTATTTGCAAACGGAACAACCGCCTGCACATATGTAGCTCCACTCACATTTCCCCCACATGTGCTGCCTTCCGCACATTGCCCATCTTGTTGGTGTCTCTTAAATACCTGCAGGATCCTAGGATTAAATTTGCGCAAGAAGTGCTCGACAGCCAATTAGCTCTCTCTGAAGAATGGATAAGCATTCATGCACAAAGCGCTGAGCTTCCCGAGGAGGACTTTGTCATGCTGGAACACTGCGGCAGATGCTACTCAATTTGCACTGAATTCAACGTGCCATCTTATAGGAAATGGCTATATGCCAATGACTTCCAAGAAATGAAAAATGCCTACAGATTTCACAAGCGTTTCCTCCAGCATTTGCAATACCAGCGCGTCGCAGATCGCTGGCTTCTGAAGATGCCATTCCACCTTTTCACTCTTGACGCGTTGTTCGAGACCTATCCAGATGCGAGGATTATATTTATGCACCGGTAAGACTAGGTTTCAGAGGGCTTCCCTGCCAATTTAGTGCATTGGGTTGTTGATCTGCTAGGTTTTATCAATTTTGCAGCTTCTGATGCTTTATTTGCTCCTTCGATGTACGCAGGGACCCGAAAGATACCCTAGCCAGCTGGGCCAGTCTGGTCAGGTGCGCCCAGCAGTCCCTACTTGACTCAGTCAACCCCACCGAGCTCGGAAAACTTGAATTGGAAGCAATGTCATCAATGATTAACCAAGCACTGGACTTTCGTGCTTCGAGGCCAGACCTAAAGGATCAAATACTGGATGTTCAGTACAAGGATTTAATAGAAAATCCGCTGGGCACAGTGTCCAAGATCTACAGTCACTTCAAAATACCACTGACAGAACAGGCAAGGCTGCGCATGACTGAATTTTGCCAAGAGGATAAGAAGACTCGCAATAAGCTATCAAAACACCAGTATACTCTAGAAGACGTATCTCTGACAAAGGCCATGGTGGAGAAGGCCTTTGGCCAGTACTATAATTCTGGGCTGTGCAAGTACCTGAAAAAGTAACTGCGAACAATCTTTGCGGGGAGAGAGCTCAACCTTTTTTGACTGGACCCAACTAGCACACATTCTGCCCCCCAAGGGCTTGAAAACACCCAAATCATAAATTATTTGTACACCATGTTTTGAAAGCACCACAAATCTTGTTTTTTCCCACAGCATGCGCTGGTAGTAAATTGCTAGAGCGCTGACAAGGCGCCTTGCTTCATGAACAAAAGACTGCCAGCAGGCAGCTGAGACACACGGTGCGCCACCAGCTTTCGGGAGAGCTTCAGCTGCCTCAATCAGGCAATTGCAGCTGTGCTGTAGTAGCTCCCGGATTGTCAGTCTCAGTGGAGAGCATAAGGCCTCCTTATAGCTAATAACGGAATGGATGTAATTGCATCACATGAGAAGTATATAGATACACGACGCATCTGGGTATAAAAACGGCTCAGCCAGCAAAAGAGATAGTCACAAATCTTCCAATCGGGCTACTCTGCGAAGCCGACATTTGGGCCATTGACGCTATGTTGAAGCTGTGCAAAAGGGGAATCGTATGCATTGTGTGTTGCCTGCCTAATTTTCTTCGCCGCATGCACAGCACGAGCTGCCACTTCCCCCGCATGATGCTGAGCAGGCATTGCAGCATTTACCGGCTTGTTCGGTTTTCTGAGGTTTCGGCTTCGGCAACCCATGCTCATCCACCTCTACCCACGGTGCCTCGCCAAAGGCCTGGGAGTCTTGCTGCAGTCGCGCAGCCTGTTCAGCTGAAAGCTGAAGTTGGGTCGGATACTGCATCGTCAAGTTGTGCATGGCCTTCTGGTGAGCCTCAAACCACTCGGGAGTGTACATTTCGTGAGTTGCTGTAGTTTCCTTCTTGATCCACTGGTTCTGGAGGTATGTCATGTTCAGAGGGTGACCAGGATGCAATGCCAACGGCTCGACGCCTTCACGGGCTTCTGGGTCACTAACTTCAGCTCCTTCTGCGCTTTCGTCTGTCCGCTTGCTGCCAGGTTCCCCGAATACGGTGCCTTCGGGATGCTGGATATACGGATACCTCTCGCCAAGCTCTTCTTTTCTCTTCTCCGCCAGGTCCGCGTTGACTCTCATCCACATTGCATGAACGTCTGCTTGTGAAAGCTCCGCAGGGTTGATTGGCTGTGCTTTCTCTACGAACTCGTGGACCTTAATTTCAACATCGCATGGGACGGGCTTGATAATGTCTTGAACCTGAAGGTAAGGCTTCTCTTTAATGCACTCTACCTCGTACACATCGTTTGTCCAGCGGATGCGAGGAACAACACGGCGCCTCACGGGAACTGGAACAAAATGGTCCCTAAACTTGAGAACTGGCACCTGAACTGGGACGACAATGGGCTTTGGTACCATGTAAGGCACAGGAACATCAACGGAGACCGGGACGTGCTTTTGAATTTCGACAGTCTTCACGACCTTAGGCTTGAATACTTGCTCCAAACGGGGAGCCTAAAATTCCACAAAATGCAAACGCATTTGATTGTCAATAATCAATTGATGGTGATTGGAAGCAAAATATTACTGCAAATAGACCCTGTATTGTCTCTATCCCTGTCACTTTGGAACTTACTGGAGGGATAGGTGCAGCTCCCGTGCTAGGCATGCCCATGCGCTTCGCTTCATAAGCAGCTTGCTCCTCTGCAATCAATTGTTGGTACTCTTGCTCAGCCTTGTACTGGGCCTCCCTGGCCTCCTTCTCTATCTTGACCTCCTCTTCGTGTTTCTGTTTTAGCTTTTCCCACTCTTCCTCAGCCACCTGGCCTTTTGGAACATACCTGTTTTGAGCGTAGCACCAGGTGGACAAAACTGAGTGCGATGTGAGGTGGTGTTAGAGTGCGCTGAATGGCTGTACAAATACTGGACTGTCTGCGCTCACCTGATGACCTCTTCAACTTCTTCGACATCCTGATAGCGAACAACCTCCTTCACTTGGGGGACTTCGACAATTTTCTCCACGTACTTGGTCTCGTACTTGGGCCTCTGAATTATATTCTCCTGTGTCTCAATCTTGTGCACATATTTATATTGGTATTCGTAGCGTGGGAGCTCAACTATCTTGTCGACCACCTTGACCTCAGGGACCTCCACAATCTGCGAAATTTAGCCACAGCAGTTTTGGTGGGGCCAATAGATTTGTTTGCTCAAAACACCATTTTGCCTTGAACGAAAGTAAGTGTAACATGGCATTTTCAGCGTACTCCCGCACAACTTGGAAAAGTTACGTTTCCCCGTTGGAATAGCCTGAGACCAATTGAAGGAAAATTGTTTTACCTTTTCGACGTATTCCGGAACAAACTTGGGGACCTCGACAATCTTCTCTTCCACCACTACCTTCGGCACGTATGTTTCGATAGTTCTCACAACTGGAACCTCTACCGTCTTCACGACGGTGTCAACTGGCTGGTATGCAGTGATGGCGACCTGCAGATTCATGGAGCAAAGTACAGTGGAAACCCAAGGATGGTGCAAAATTGGCCTAGCTCGCGAAAAGTGTCTTTCACTTCAGCGTGGGTGTTCGGCAACACTGGCGTTCTGTGGCCATTTTGCTATTCCGAGTGCCCAGCGGCCATGGCTAGTTGTGCAAATGGTATTTCGCCCAACGTCAGACAGAGCCATAAATTTGTTGTTGTGTTAAAATTTAATGAGTTCAACTATTTTTCCCCACAGCGTGCACCGGTTGTGCAGCGGATCGACCCGGGTGCTTCGACAGCTTACCCACTGACGCTCGGTTTGCTCCGAAATGGCAACAGCTCGTTCTCTTTCGGTCCTCTCTTCGAGAGTGACAGATCGCACAGACTCTGCAGTTGCGTGGAGATGAGCATTGGATGGGACATTTAGCTGGGCTTGTTGACGTTGGCCTTGCAGGTGCTGCTGCTGTTGCTGCTGCTGCGCTTGACCGCCCTCCTCACCAGGGGCGCAACAATCGCTGCAGCCTGGGATCATTTTGTATTGATTGATTAAACGGAAGGAAAAGGAGTTGAGGCTCTGTCCATCCACAGGGCAAGCTCGAAGTTGCGGCTGCCTGTGTATCGAGCCAAGTGCGACCCTGGGGTAGGTGGGCTCGTCAAGAATGATGGAATAGGAAGGTTATTTGCTTAATAAAGGGTTTTGTTGCTGACTGTGCAGAAAATTTTCCAATAATAAGCAATGGTAGGTCGAAAAAGTGCCCAGAAACTCTATGGCTGGATGGGGCAAACCGGGCCAGCTGCCGACACGCCACGTACAGCCTGGTGCAGCCGATGAGCTCTCGAGCCGGTGGTGCCCACGGTCCGGCTGCAGCATCGGCCTGCACAGCGGCAACAGCTTGCCATGGCGGCCGCTGGTTGATGGCGATCTATCGGTGCCGAATGGCTCATCGGTGCGATCGATTCTGCTTTCGTTCTGATTCTGTTGTGGCTGTTTGCTTGCAGTCCCTGACCACGCCTTTGCTCTCACACCTCTCAACTGCATTGATGAGTGGAAGATTTTCTTTCGGTAGACTGACTACAAAATATCTCAAGATAAATATTCTTCACCAACACAACGTTGTGTTGGGCTAGTCCATCCCACCAGCTGGTGCCGACAGGTCTCATCCAGTTGGACCGCTGGTTGGCACGCGAAATTTCTCTGGCATTCATCAAACTTTTGGCCTTGGAATTCAGCCCGTCCCATAGCATTTCGACTTCTTCTCAAGACTGGAACCTAAAATACCAACTTAGTGAGTGGATTGTCTGTCAAAATGAAGCCATTCAGCGAATGCTGCGCGCCGTGCTGCCCTGGCGACGGCGAAACCGAGCAGGCTCAACAGCAGCAACAACCAGGACAACTGCCTCCCGGCAGCCGTTTGGTTTCGGGAACTATTGCTCAACAGGGGGAACCAAGATACCTTGAGCCGCTCGTTCAGGTATGCATGAGGGGATCATTGTCCAAAATATGGCAGGCTTAGCTTTTTTGCTCTGGCTGCAGTCAAGGTTGACACAGAAATGTTCCACTTCCCACGAAAAGTTGTTGTATGTTCTATTCTGCTTTATGAAGCATACTTCAGTGGAAGGTTTTGACTTTAGCAACTGAAAGCAATCGCGGGACGACAGCAATGTGTTGGTTAAGAATGGTAACCGGGGTTCTGAAGGGATGTAAACACTGAAGCAGTTCAGATTATTTGTAGCATCATTCTGCCTCTTTGCTTTGCTGCAGGAACGCATTGTGGAAGTCTTGAAGCACGAAGTGGAGGAACGCATCATAGAGGTGCCTCAAGTGCAATATGTAGACCGCATCGTTGAAGTTCCCCAAACTGTTGTGCACGAAAAGATTACCCACGTCCCGAAACCCGTCATCCAGGAACGTGTTACGCATGTTCCAAAAGTGGTTTATCAAGAAAAGATAGTTGAAGTGCCTCAAGTCAAGGTGAGTATGATTTCCCCCAGGCCTAGTGAACATAGCTTTTTCTTGTATTCTCCAGCGATCGATCTATTTTGGTCATGCGTACCTAACTGATCAACTTGTTTTATTCTTTCTGAGTATACCGTTCAGGTTGTCGACAAGATCGTTGAAGTGCCTCAATACGTATACCAGGAAAAGATCATTGAAGTGCCCCGAGTTGTAGTGCAGGAAAGAGTTATTCCAGTCCCCCGAAAGGTCGTGAAGGAGAAGCTGATAGAGATTCCTGAGGTAGAATACCGCGATGTCGCGTTCGAGCAACCGATTGAGGTTACTGAGGAGGTCAAAGAAGAAGAAGTGGTTGAGAAGCCCTATACCCAGGTTGTGCAGAGACCCTTTGAAATGGAAAAAGTTGTCGAAGTGCCTCACATACAGCATACATACAGGAACGTGATGACTCCCCAGTACAGACATATTCCCAAGCCAGTCGAAGTTCCCATGACCCATTACAGACCAATCCCCGTTGAGAAACTCGTTGACCGTAACGTTCCAGTACCTGTTGAGCTTCAGATTGTGCAGGAATATCTGTGCCCGAAGATAGAACCGCGCTACAAAGAAGTCCCGGTCCCTGTGCACGTCCAACGAACGATTGAACATCCAGTGCCGAAGGAAGCCATGGGGAACCCGCAGCTTCTTCCCTTATACTATCAAGGAAGCAAGGAACAGTTCAAGGGAAGCTTCCAGCCTGGTGGTGTTTGCTACACAATGTCGTCTTGGTGTGCTCCTCGAGTAGACCAAGTTACAGAAGCTACAGCCGGAACAGTCGAAGTGCTTGCCCAAGCTGGGTACCCACAGCAGCATATGGGAGCTCCCCATCCTCAGGTGCCCCAAGAGCAGCAACAGCAGCAGCAGCAGGCTGAGTACACGGCTTCCGAACAAGCAGGTCAACAACAGCAACCCATGCAAGAGGCAGCGGAGGGGGCGCAGTATGCTGGAACAGAACGCATGACCACAATGCAACGTGAAATGCTCGCTGCTGCCAGTAGGCCTGCCAACCCGTATGTTCAAGTGTCCGTCACTCCCGCGGGTCCCGGCCAGAAATCCGAAGTAAACATACAATAGGTGCTTCCCTTATACCTACTTGCTATTTAGGGTCGCGATTGATACTAATTACGGAGGCTCAGGCCAGCCTTAGTTCTTGCCTAAACTAGCCTCCCAATCGCAGATCAGTATTGGCTGTGTGCTCCGTTAGCAGCGGAAGGCACAGTTTATTGGCCCCACATGACTCCTTATAGGACTTTTGGGCAAGCAAAACTGCAACTGAAGATATTTAATAACTCTACTAAAGAAAGCAGTGTATGGTAGAGGGGAAACATGAACACACATTTGGTCACCCCCCGTGAGCTTTGACTGCAATGCAAGCACGCCAAGCCACAATGGTCTGACGGCAGGCATGTTCCCCTTTGAAATTTGGTGCCCCCTTAAAGTAGCAGCTGAAAAGGAGGCCACCGGAGGGGACTACATATGCGCAAATCCTAGTGCTGGGGCACTTCGCATACCGTCACAGTCCACACGCATGCGTCTTCTTTGCAATACAATAGATGAATTCCATGTTCCCTACAGAACAACGATTGAACACTTGACGCCAACTCAGCGGAGCAAGTATGCTCGTCGCCATAGCTGCAACTGCAGCATTACCTATTCTACAAGCTACCATAAAATATATCGTGATAGTTCAGGCTCCATATCTAAGAAAGGAATTAGGAAGGTACAGGACAGGGAGTGTGACAAGCGCTTTCGCAGCAAAGGATTCAACAGCCTTATGCACACCAGACTGCACATACTACCATCGTTATCGGCAGCGGATGGTGTACCTCCGAGTGATGTACAATGAACGAGCTTTTTCCACCACATTTCAATAACAAGCCCCTCCCTGGGCTTAGCTGTTTCATCAATAAAAAGTGCTCGAACACGCCCCGAAATGCGCCTCCAGAGGCTACTGGGAGGCATTGACGCGCAAGCTCTCGCACTTGGGTTCATCGTCCCATGCCGGCTCACGCCACGCAGCCTTCCTAGACATTCTGTGGAGCAGGGTAGTGTCAGCAACTGAAATGAAGCCCATCAAGCAGACATTAGTATGAAATCCATTCAATTTATCCAGCGAAGCTCGTCCCAGCGAGCACAGCACCCACCACCTCCTGGGTGGCTTACATCAAAAAATCGATTTTCAAGCAGGCAATCTGCACGGAGTGTTCCCGCCAGATTCAACTTGGTTGTCACGCAGCAATGCTCCTGAGGCTCGGCCTTCGGTGGCATCCAAAGATAGGAGCGCAGCTGCCTGCTATGCTTAGTTGCTAGCAGTACTTGTCCGCGATTACTTGGTCCCTGAATTGCTTCCTTGGCACAGTTGGGGATTCTTCACTCATCTGGTAGATCATAGCCATAGAGGAAGTCGCCCAACTGCCGCAGGCTGCGCCTTCTCCTGCTTTCACGCTGTTCCTGCGGGCAGAGGGACCACAAATGCAGTGGGGCGCACCAATGTGTAATTTACACACTCATGGTTCCCCGCAGCATGTGCATGCGCATTCACCGCTCGATTGAACAATGGCTCACAACTAGCCGGTTGGCCCGTGGAGGGATACTGTAATATACAACCAACTTTGTTGGGGACGCTAAAATAGAAAAGAGCTCCAGAAATCGACTACATAAGTACTTAAGCCTCCTACCTGCTCCTCATGCATCTCTAAAACCTCCCAAAGGGGTCGGGACACTAGCCCGCTCGGCTTTGATTCATCAAACGCTCCAAACAGCAAAATGTTTTCCCCCCTTATAATCATGACCCCCTGGTATACATCACTGTAAAACATATTGACAATAATCCGTTGGACACAGCCTTCCAGCATTAAGTTGCCATATTGATCGAATGACCGCAAAATACCAATGAGGTTCTTGCCATCCCGCAAAATGACCAACACTTTCTTGTCTAGCTCCTCTTCTAAGCTTGTTATCCAGTTAGGTGCTGCGTTTGGTTGGATTTCGTCGTAGTGGTCCGCTGCTGTGGAGTCATGAGCGACAACCTGCTGCTGCTGATCTGCAGAATGCTGAAGGAATTCCATTTCGGGGTTAATGCTGAGGGCATAAGGAAACGTGCCATCTCCTAATAAAATTAATGAGTGGCTTGCTTTGTTCGCCGAGAAGGGCACAAAGTAGCATCCGTAGTGCCCAGTCTAGACACTTTCGACGGGGTCCCCCAGTGCATGCAAGCTGGCCAAGAAAATGGCGCCCCACTTCCTTCCGCACGATAATTGTGCGCCATTCAAATGATATAATTACATCAGCGGTACATTTTTTGCACTTAGTGAGTATTTGAAGTTCAGGGCAGTTGGGCGCTTCCCGCATCGGAGGAAAGGACGTCCTGCCACATGTATTATTGCTGAGGGAAGGGGAACCAGTGACTGAGACGGTTTTTGCATTTTTGCCACTCCTACTGTATAGTTGTGATTCCGTTTTCCTGCACCCGGCGTGGAGGCACTTGGGTTGCGAAAGCCTTCCCGTTTAAGTTACAAGGGGGCACCTTTATCGGCACCCCTGCGGAGCAACCTTTCCCCTTACCAGTCCACTTCTTATTAGACGGTGACAAAGTTCGGTTCTTCTCGGAGGAGCTGCTGCCATGAGCAGCACCGTGGCGCAGAAATACAGGCGGCACGGTTGCATGTGGCATAACGCAGCACCACCGTGTTGCACGAGCGCATACCATCTTGACATCAGTAGCTAGCGCTCGTTTGGGCCTATTTGCCTTGTTGCATCCATAAGAGAAACAGCGTGTCTGGCGACGATGGAATATGATGAACAAGTCTCAGCGCGGCTGGACATGAGCCTGGATGAGATAATCGGGCAAGAACAGCAGGATGGCTCAAGCCACTTAAAGAAGCGCAAAGCCAAGAGCGGTCCCTCAGGTGCAACCTCGTGCACATTGCTGGGGTATTTGTGCATCTGCATGCAGTAAAGTTCCACGCGTTGCGTTGTGGTTCTGTACACATGCGCACGCTGCGGCGCTATTTTTTTGTCACAGGCTCTTCGTCTCTACCACCACCCACGACACAAGCATCGCTGTATCGAGCGCCACCAGCTATTCAGACTGAATATGCAGTCAGATCAGCAGCTTCCTTTGCCCCAGCCGCTGGAGCCGCTAACAGCGTCTCTGGGCCTGCACCCGCTGGGCGCCCGTTCCCTGTAGTGGTACGGGGGCCGCCAGGCAGACTGCCCCCCCCTCCCCCATACGCTGTGGGCCGCCCTCCTTTTCCCGTACCTCTTGGCCATCCCAGAACGGACGCAAGGTGGCCAAGACCGCGGCACTTGGGAGGAGGATACTTAGTGGCGCCGAACGGTGTGCGCCCCCCGCCTCCACCATTGGCAGTGGCCCCTAGTGGACGTAAGGAAGGCACTTTTCAATAGGGGACGTGTTACAGTCTCTCCTCCAAAAGTTTTTGTTGGAAAGTGGGCAAGTGTGGTTTTTTGACGTAAAGCGAAGTGCAGCTTTCACCTCAATGCAGCATGTAAACACTTGCGGATTTGTGGCGCAGCTCCAAGGCCGTCGTTCCCCTTGCAGCCAAGGCCGAGTGGCCCCGGCGAGCTGGAATACACGCAGATACGTCCAGTGGTTGGACCATACGTAGAATCTCGCGCAGTGCCAACGGGTACAGCCTTATACCTATCTGCAGATCCTTGTGCTTAAAACACGGTGGTGCATCATCCTGCCCCCACGTTTACTTGATGCTCTTTCGTTTAAAGGTTTCCTGGTTCACATTGCAAGGTTTGATTCGGAAGCTCTGGAGTGCGATGTGCGGTGACTACAGCAGGTCCTTCACTGCCTGTGTGGAAGCGCTCCCGCCACGCCGATGAGGTTGAGGGACAAAACGGCCACCACTCCCCACATGTTCCCATGAGTTTCTCGGTAGGTCTTCCGGCATTCGGGTCTTTGCGAAGTCCGCAGCTGCTGAACGATCCAAGCGGTCCCGTGCCAAAGCCATTGCCCTACGGATACGGTACCAGGTGTCCCCCTACTGAGTACTACGAGTCAGCATATCGGAGAGATGCAGCAGGGGAACATGGGCAAGGGTACGCCGCCTCCCAAGAAGAGCTGGTGGCGGCGCCGGCTCGCCACGGGCATTCAGATGACCCCGAAGTCGTCTGGAGCAGGCAGACAACTCCAGATCAGTCATCCGCAACCCCGGGACTGCGCGGCCTGCCAATTCGAGAAGCGACCGCCCCAACAGGCGGTCCCAGCGCGTGCTTGCCTCAGAGGAGGGAGTTCACGGTGATCGTTTCGAACGTGAGCTCCAGTTAGTAGCTGCAGTACTCGTGACTGCTGCAGTGTCCATTGCTAGCTGTAGCAGCCCTGTTTAGGAAGCTGTCTCTGTACGATGTGGAGCCATACTTGGACACGCCAGGTGTTCATAGTGGCGTCGGTCTTCATTCGGACGGCTTTGTGAATCAGGTTCCAAAGGATCTTCCAGCGGTCGAAATTCAGGAAGCATTCAGCTGTATGGGAACTGTTCTGCGCACTGATATCATGCTTAACAGCAAGGTAGGTCTATTCAGCTGCCAAGATACCAGTTGTTACTCCCAAACGGGCTGTAGTGGACAGGAGGGATTTGGGTAGTGGTGACTATGTTATCCTACTTAGCAGTGAAACATTAATACTGTTGTTCTGTGAGGCTCATTGCAGGGAGAGCACACAGGCCGGGTGTGCATTGCATTTGCTTCTGCTGAAGCAGCGAAGACAGCAGTGGGTAAGGAGATCAGCTGCAACTCTCTACGTCAAATTTCAAATCAGTTGCGATTCTCGCTTCAAATGGAGGCCAGTGGGCGGCCAAAGTGTCTATTGATGACGCCATCAGGGTGCTGTTTGTGCATGCAGCACAATTTGACAAGGGCGATCTTAATGGAAACACAATTAGGGTCTTCGCGGAATGACCACACAGCAGGCTGGCCGTCCAGGCGCCGGGACCCGGGTAAGAAACGTGTTCTGAGCTCGTGCTGGCTTCCGCTCTTAATTAACCAGCTGTCGCTGATTGTGAAGTCGAGCACCGCCTTGTTTCGATGAGCTCCACGGTCCACGTCAACTTATACCACCCCACCAGGGTGGTTGGAAGGCTTTTCAGATGCATACTGGCCGATTCGCCCCCTCCTCACCTCTGAATATTCATTCAGGGCAAACAACAAAACGTTGTGTTTTTCCTTAAGTGCTGGCTCCACGTTGACAAGTAAAATTATTGTAGTCTAGCTTCCCCCCAGAGGGTCGGCGAAGATGACACTGGGTGACAGAAGAGCCAAAAAGACGATTTATCGCCTCCCTGATAGTCCTATGGTTCCACTGAGGCTAGTTGTGGACTCCTCATCTCATTGTTGATACGCATGTTCCGCGCCTCTAGTTTCTATGTAACATGCGCACACGTAATCCAGCCTCGATGCAATGTGAAGTCGCTCGAGTACGATTGATAGAGCCCCTCAACCTGCTGCATGAATGTCCTTCGAACGCCGTTAATCTAGATGAGCTGCATGCAAAAAGATCACAAACGCATACTGCGCCGAGCCGTTCAGCCGCTCGAAGGCTAATGGCACTTCAAACATGCCGCCTTTGCTACCGAGGCAAAGCTGTTTCTACGGATTCCACCTCGGGATCGTTTGCTCTTCCACGCAGCCAAGTGGAATGGTTGCCCTCCACACAATAATTCAGCCAAAGGGAATGACTACGCCATTTTCGTGACCCTGTTTAGAGGTTTCAAAGGAGCCTCTGCAAGTGTCAACCAAGCTTTGGTGCCGTGGCAGTTCGCAACAGCGGGCGTACTCTGAGGGCCTCCATCATCTGCTCTTCGCGCTGTTTGCAACCCCTCCGCCGGCGCATTAGGGCGTTGGTCCACATGCTCAGCCATATCCCGAAGAGCTTCTATTACTTCACTTGCTATGGCCGGTGCTTGTTCGGGGGAGGCAAACATCAAGCGATCCCTCATGTGCTGAATCTGCAGCTGCTGAATTGTAGCACTGAAGTGTTCGTTAAGTTTGAAGGGTGTGGGCTGCCTCTCGGAGGCACAAGGCGCAGGGTCGCCGCTTGCCTGGTTCTGCAGCTGCTCCACAATAACCTGTACGAACTGCATGTGCACGTTGCTGCTACGAACAAGTGAATCAAAGCAAGCCCGAGCACCAGGGTCCATACCTCCGCCTTCCAGTTGAAAGGAACTTTCTCGAAGGCCCCTGTTTGAGGGCCACAGAGTCTTGAATTCCTCCGCAATCCTCAATAAGGACCGCTGAACTTCCACAAGCATGCAACATTGCATGAACTGTGCCATGAACGCATAGTGGGTCGTTAGCATTAGCATGTTGTTATGAGGCTTTCCCCCGAGTGTAAGCCGCAATTCTGGGGCCGGCGTTGCAGCTTTCCCTGTGGCTGGTAGGCAGAAGCTATCATGCGTGGAAATAACTGGAGGTGCTGTGCTCATAAAAGAAGCTAGTAGGCGCCTCTGTTCATTGATGCTTGCTTCGAGTAAGTCAGTTCCTCCATCGGCATTATTGTCTTCTTCCGGCTGACGGGCTGAACTTTCCAACTTCTCCCCTACTGCTGAATTAAAGAGAGAACGGCACCCTTCCGCGTAATTTGAAGACTCTGCCTCAGGAAGCCACCGAAACGCCTCACTGGTTGGTGTCGATAAACCGGTGTGCAGGTGCCTGGTTGGTGACGCCTCCGAGGCATCTTCAGGCTCAGACGCAGTCCTCTGTGTCTTGACTGGAATCTTCCGTGGGCGCCCACGGCTGCGCTTATTTACATCTCTGTCAGCCCGCACAGTCTGCGGTACCCGTTTACGTAAAAACGTTGAAGAAGTCAAACCAGTGCCAAGCACCTTGTCCGGTGGAGAATGTACATCATCTTCTGACTTGCATGCATCCATGCTCGATAGGTGATGTTTGCTGGTCCCACGAGGGCTTACACTTCCTGGTTCATCTTCACTGAGACACATTTTCACAGGTACGCCAAACCGAAATCTACAAAGCCTCTTGCCACAGAGTTTGGGAAAGGATACCGCACTTCCCTGACTCTGTGTTTGCAATGAATGCAGCACGAAAACACTACTAGAACTACCTGGAGGGAGCCTAAGTCGATGTGCATGCGCAGTTGGCCTACCGTCCAATGTCAAGATCTTTGCTGGTGAGAGCATCACATTTCTGTGTCAGAGCTGTACACTTGAGAAGGAAGTCCCACGCTTCGGCGCCCATGAGGTGCGTTACTTTAAATAGTTCCTTGAAAGCGAACACAAACAAGTTGTCGAGATTGAACAACACTGTTCAAAACTTCTAACTTACCTCCAGCTACTGTTTCCGCAAGGTGCAAAGAAATTCAGAACCCTCGAAATCAGCCTACCTGAACTGTGGCAAGCGTAAACAAGTCCCTTCTATAGAGGTTGTGTTCTTGCAGAACGCGCTGCCACTTCTCCGGATTGGACCAGAAGACTCCTCTGAGCTTTCGTAACAATAGGCGGCGTCCATCAGCACCAACAGGCCAAGCAAATCCGTACGCCCACGCGTCGTGCGAATACTGTTGAGGATTTCGCAGAAGCTCTATAGCAAAGCTGTTCCCAGAAACCTGTTCAAGAAGCAGCCATAATACGGTGTAGCCTCTCAAATTTATATATATATATATATATATATATATATATTATATATATATATGGTGTATGGCAGAATGAAGCTTTTAAAGTGCACAGAACATATACTATCTCAGAAGACTAACCTTCGACACATCCACAGACTTTGCCTCCTCTTCAAATGGGCCAAGCTCCTCCATCTGCCTATATGCAAGATCGTATTTTGTGCGCTTCCGGCGGTTACGACCTCCGATGCGGACGACCCCTGCAGGTGATACGCTCTTGGCCATTTGCGAACTCGCGGACTCTGGAGATGCTGCATTACGTTGGTGGCCTTGCCAAGGCAGCTCTGCTTCGCGCGAAGCATTTGTGTGTAGCATCGCGGCAGCGACACTTGACTGCGACGTTGGTGTGTCTGTCCCTGACGTCCTCGCCTCCGGAGCAGCAGGAGCAGAGTATGAGACGTTTCTGAGCTCGTTTCCGATGGTTGAAGCGCCTTCATGTAACGGTCCATCACCAGGCACGTGAGAATCGCCAGCTGAAGCCTCTGCTGTTGCTCTACTTCCTGCAGGTGGTACACGAGGGTGTCTCGACACAGCAGATGAGCAGTTCCGTTGCAGTTTCCGTGAAGTGGTTGCCGGGTTTGACCTTTCCGTACAAGGGTCCTGCACGGCCTCAGTGATAAGCTGGTTATCGTTTACATGCGGTACGCACGTCTGCACGTCTAGCGAACTCTTTCCGTTGGCCTTCAGTGCGGATGCTGTCGAAACATGAGCCCCATAGGGAACGGGTGCTTTTGATCCCCTTTGTCCAGCATCGGAAATGAAGTCACGACTACCTGGACACTGTGGGGTTCCCTCAGTTGCTGTAGCTTCACCAAGCGAGTTGTTGGAGCAGGCCCCTGAAGATTCCGCACCAGCGATAGTAGCGGTGACGCTCGTGGCCGAGGACGCATCTGCACGGATCTCTGTCTTAACTTCTGACGTATGCGTCGAATTTGCCTCCTCCTTAGGGTTGTTTTGCATCTTCAACACGAAGTCCACATGCAGGACGAAACTCGTGGACTGGCGGTTGTGTATGTAGTTTAGACTCAATCCAACACCCACGTCAGTCAAAGTAAACTATTTAAGCCTTTCACGTGAAATCCAGGAACGGTAGGCGACGGTACTGCAGAGGAGTTGCTCCGGTTCAGGTGGGAGGGCAGACGGCGCACGCCAAGTTGGGCGATAGGGAGATCACTGTATCCTGCCTATTATTAGCGAAGAAGAGAACGAGTGCTACGAGATATACAGGAGAGGGCCGAAGTATGACGTAAACCAGGTCTTGGATAGAGCCTGCGGCAGGCAGACGGCAAAGGCACAATGCTCCGCATTCAGTGTTGCAGCTTTCGGCGAAAAGTTAGTTCGATGGTCACAGTGAAACGCACTCCACCCATAGCCGATCTATTGGTGAATAAGGCCCCGTGCAAAATGCAGCTCCCTGATTAAATGGCATCTGCCCAGCGTTGCCCTGAGCACGTGACGGCCCCGGCGTGGTCTGCTAAGCGGAGTTCAGTAGTCAAAATGAGCAGGACTGAAGGACACATTCTATGAAATAAGAGCCATATTTTGTCAAACACGGCACTGGCAGGGCGGCGAATCGAAGGTTAGCGCTCGAGCTACGAAGTTTCAGAGGACGGCGGCGACATAGTGCCGGACACCAACATTCAAAGACTGACCTGAAGTTACAAAGAAGATAAGTGAATAATAATGCTGATAACTTTCTAAGGGTGGCCACTCTCGTAGATTGCTGCTAGCTAGTCGTACCCGTTCCCTGTCCGTATGGAAGCTCCCACCATTCAGCGGCTGGCGTTGAACCAATTTGGTAGAGCGCATGCCCTTGCATCTTTTGCGGCATCGACTAGAACGTTGAGCAAGATAAAGGAGAGTATTTTGGATATTTTCAGCTAGGCAATGTACTCTTGAAGTTGTGTAGGGTTCCCTTTTTTGTTCCAACTGGCCTGTTCCATCCATTGGCGCTCTGCGCTAACCAGTGGTGAAGCAAGAATATTTCACTGTCTTCGGTCCTCCGCCTGCTCCCATATCGTTATCTTCCATTTCTCCATTGATAAGAGGCATTTATAACCAACAGAACGATCAACATGGCCCTCCAGTTACCCGGTTTTTGTGCCAATTTGCATCCTTCACTAGGTTTAGGCGATACTGGGAGAGCCGTGCGGCGGAATGAACAATAATATGCATCGACCAGCGTTAGCTCAGAGTGCACAGGTACATAGGCCGGTGTTCATATCATGCAGACCACCGCACAGACGAATTGGGTTGTGTGCAGTTGAGCAGGAACGGCCCATCTGCGCAACCACATGACAGACCAGCCGCAGGTTGGCTACCATGCGTGCTTGCATCCATACACTTGAGCAAGTCCAACTTCTGCTTATGCTAGGACTGACAGGCAGGCTCTGGCCCTGCCACTGCTTCGCTTCTGGCTTGGGTTGGGTGGTTGTCCTCAACTCGGACACTCGTGCTTGTTCACTGTAACCCGATCCCCGGCCTCATCGCCAACAAGTCCATGGCAAACACAAGAAGAGTTCCACTGCTTCAGAGCCACCCTGCTCACTCTGTGGCTTTACCCTAGTCCAGCAGGCTCTACTCGACCCCAGTTAGCTCTCTGGACTACTGTACTCTAGTAGATACTCTAAGGGGCAGCACTCTTCTGCAGTGAGTCCAGTAATCCGACTCTTGAATCAAGGTGTGGATTCTGGGTTCGAGAATGCGGCCCGAAATACAAGAAGAAATGGCACGCAGCCGTCGAACGGCTCTGTGCGTTGTAAATCGTAGTTCTTGGCTCTCTGTATGAGACTCCAATTCCATCGGCAAAAGCAGGTTGGAATGAGCAACAATGGTAGCAGCAAGCATTACTTCCTGGCCGCACTAAGAGATTTCAGTTTGCCATTATGTTCAGAACTGTGAGCAACCTCAGGAATGGATAGGGGGAGCACTGCCACTGGAGCGAACCGAGTATACACCATTCACAAAGGCGGAGGCAAACAATTCGCAACGGGTGTTACAACTCCTAGAGCGAACATAGCACCAACTTTCAAGCTCCTGAAGCTATTTGGTAATACATTTCACGAATAGTATTGAATGGATAAGCCAAATCCCAAGCCCAGGTGTTGTTGCACACCCGCACAGAACGAGGCTCGAGTCAGTGTGTGAGCATCACGTCCTTTTTCAACGCTTGCGTGTGAACTCCAACTGGTAAAGCCTGTAGCTATAAACATGCTTCCGAAGTTCAAATTAGGTGGCTATGGCACCAGTGTTTTGATAACGCGCTATGTCCCGCGAGCGCTACCGCTTCCGCCGTAGTCCTTCTCATGCTTTTCGGCCTGCCCACCTACAGCTGCAGCAGGACACTTTTCCATTCACCGTTTCCACGCCTCTTGCATTCGCAACACACCTTTTTTTCAGTACATGTGCAGTCGTTGTTCCCACGCCTGCATTCGCAACACACTCTTTTATCACGTCTGCAAGAACCATTCTCATGCCTCCTGCGTTCGCAACGCATTTTTTCGTTGCACACCCAGCAACTCGTCTTTCGGTCACATCCTGCGACTCATCAGCTCAACAAAGGCTCTTCTCCAAATCATCGTCCCCACAGGCCCTCCTTTAGCTGGGGCTTCTGCAATGGGGCAGAGGTACAACACACACACACACACACACACACACACACACACGCACACACACACACACACACACACGCACACACACACACACACACACACACACACACACACACACACACACACACACACCACAGACGCACCCGCCAAAGGCTAGTCCAAAGCACAATCTATTTCCCGTATCCAGGCGCTTTGGCTTTCTGTCAGTGTGCGTGTTTCCGTACAGGGGTGTCCTGCCTTAGATGATGGCTGTGCTGGTGGCTGTAGGTCAATCACCAACGGTTCATCGGCCTTCGTGCCTCATTCGCCTGCTAGTGCGACAAGTTTGCGATACCTGCTGGGGCCACTAGGTGAATTTAACAACGCTCACTTCCATGCGCTCCACTGCAACAGTGCCTTCACTATCATCAACTGTCGCAAAATTGGCAGTGGCCTGCTAGGCACAACTGACCCAAATCTTAGGCATGAAGATACGCAAACTCGTAGCGCCCAAAAAGTACCTCGAGGGTTACACATTCCTAGACAGGAGCGTAGCAGGTTGGGCTGGATGGATGGTTGATACATCAGTATTTGTGTGCAAGTTGGCTGCTGAAGGCAAAGTAATGGATGGGTATGCTTGCATATGAAGCTGTTTACAGTTGCGGCAGCAGGTGCTGCAAAAGCGGAGAAGCCACCTCCTCTTCCCACCAACCTCACGCCCCCGTGCAACTCTTTTCACGGCACCTGGAGACAGAAGGGGAGGTCAACTGCCTCACTGGAAAACTATAGTGGTGTTTTGGTTCTGTTACAAGTTTTCTAGCAAAGGTTGAAGTTGGCCAGAAGGGGTTCATAGCCAAGACTTAACTCTCTGAGGTGCACTTGCGTTGGTGCCCTGTTTTGTTACCAGCTAATCCTGTTGATCTAGAGCAAGTCTTCACGGAGCGCCGAATCCTCTTGTTCGGCGCATTTGGCAGGTAAGCGCCATCATTGAGGCACCGGAATGCTTTGGAGTTGCGGGAAGCGCAAGAAGTGGGTTTTTGGTGCCAGCTTATGGATTGCAGGACCTCTTCACTGGCACACGAGTTGCGAGATCGGTATATGCGAGAGTGCGCAGATCGTGACGAGATATACGGTGGAACGGGAGACCTCAGCCAAGGATTGTCCTCAGTTGCAATAGAGTCGAAATACTACAATTAAGCGCTCCCAACGATACACTGTTACATCGAGAAGCATCAACTGCTGAACCGATGCCCTGACGGGGAAGCGCCACTTCTATGTGTTCTAAGTGAACTGTTCGCTGCATCGTAATGCTCTGGGTCACGAAGAGAGAACTCATGGGTGAAACGGTGGGTATCGTGGAGACTATTTAGTACATCGTCGCGAGAGAGGGCGAAAATGCCGCTTTCACTACCCGAGTTCGAGAGGAGAACACGAGTTTGGAAAGTATCCAGACGTAGCGCCGATGTGGGAGCTATGAACGCCAGCACTCAAAAGCCCAGGGAGATGCAGAGTGGCACATCTTTTTTTAACAATACCACAAAAATCGAAATCGTAGGTCTTTACGAAGGGCAAAAGAAAAGAAGCAAGGCCTTGACCAGAACAAACCGGGCAACCAACGAGGCGTCTACGAAAAGCGCGTCCCCCACGCAGCTTGACGTGCAGTAATGGAACGCAAAGAGGTGGCAGTTGCACTGCATAGCTCCCTTGAGTCAACTTCGTGCTTGTCCACGCACGGGCTGCACAGTGCATTGGTATCGGAGGCTACGGTGAAGAAGTACAACATACCTTTCTATTCGCTGGCGCAGTCTCTGCGACAACTTTTCACAGGTGGCAGACAGACCACGCGGATTGGCAACATTACGGCAATAATGTAGGCTTTGTAGAGTTATCGGCCAATTTAACAGCATGCATGGCATTTGCGTTGGCCCAGTGTACCTTGACATCATTTTCATAGGCACGCCCTGGGAGTCTCAGTAGAGGGAGCGCATATGGTCTCCAGAAGAGAGTACAGAGGTATATGTGCCAGCAATCAATATAAGACTGTATCACTTAGCTGTCCTGGTAGCCGTCGTAGCCTCTACGGTAAGGGAACTGGAAATGATTATCCCAAGGGAAACGGGGCGAGGAGATTCCAACGCAGTATAGGGGCGCTGCCGGAAACAATGAAGCAGTGCACGCACTCCGGCATAATGGCCCTACGAAAATCGTGTTTGGGGGGATTCAATCTAGCTAACACCCTCTTAACAGCAAAATTGGTCAAAGAAAAAGGATAGTTATCAGATGAACAAAAAAGCCAGATGGGGGGACCCGCTGGACGCCCAATGTAGTGCAACCAACCCACTCTAGCTCAGCTCCAAGCTTTTCTCCGCAATCCAGGCACCCCTACATATTGAAGACAAACTCGAGCGGCAAGAAGACGCACTGCTACGGAAATCGAGATATGCTAACATTCCATTTGTGCTAGCTTTCCAACACTGTTTGAAGGATTACAAAAATTTCTCCTTAATCTCCACAAAAATGGAGGGAAGAGCTGGTGGACACGGATATCTTGAACACGGGTGACAACCGACAGATGTCACAGGAAAAAAGAATAGTGCGCTAAATGCTCGCGAGATCACATAAAGGACAAGTGGGTTCTGAAGATGGCTTGTAAACAGCAGTTCCTCAGGACTACCTTCGGGCATTCCGTGAATTAGACGCGGCCACGACAAGCCTTCGCATGCGCACAGCAGCGGAAGGTGAGCCGTAGAGAGCTAGTCGTTCTCTACTCCGTTACATATGTGTATAAGCACTAATATGCTTCTATCTGGCTATTCTTTGGAACCAAGTATTTTCCACTGTGATCTGCTCTTCCTCCTCTGCTTACCACCAGCTCAGCGCTACTCCCGGCGATATCTTTGGTTTTTCATGGGGGGCTGGACACCGCGCATTGGGGCTTTCCGCGGTCTCTCTCCCCTACAATGCTGGCTGTTTGGGTATCTGATAACTGTCTCCTCATGCATGCATATTTGGCTTGAAGGCAGCAGCAGCCGAAGGCGCAGCAGGAGCAGCCTTGGAAACCGATGCTGAGAAGCGACAGTAGCAGCACCAGCAGCACAAGCGAAGGCAGCAGCCGGCGGCTACCTTCGCAGACGGAGGCATCGTGCTGAAAGCTTTCTTTGAGCCCTTGATGGTATATTCATATTATTAAGGGCTCCTCCGTCTACAAAAGACGCACGCGAAAACAGCCATAGGTATTGACACAGCCTACACTCTCAAGATACTGGCACGCGCTATGTACCGTTTTGGTAGCTGAGCTAAATGCCTATAGGGGGAGAAAAAAGCAGAGGGATAAACGTCAGCAAAATAAAACGAATGAAAGCAGCGAGGCAAGCGAAAACCCTTCTGGGTGCGCAACACCGATGACGTGAATAAGTGCGCTCTGCGTACGAGCCGTTGCCCAGTGGTCTGGAAGAACCTGTGGCGGTGCAATAGTTAAGAGTCGAGGAGACACTCGAGTTCAAAGCACTTCCTTCTCCTGTGAAATGCACACGGTTCGACTCTGCTGAAACCCCCACGGACTCTCGTTACACATCCCCCCTCCCCTAGATGCGGGCAGTAGCCCTGTGAGCAGATGACAAGCACTTAGTTGGCCCTCTTTAGCCAGCCTAAACTCATGCATAAATATAAATATGCATCCCAGCTCCAGACAATGCATGCTGCCTAAACAGTGGGGTGAAATGCTGGGGTGCAATAGGGGTGCAGTAGACACGGTGGGGCGGTAACACCGAGAGGAAGCATGCGGCACCAGCAAAAGACACCACAAAACATATCGGAGGAGGAGAAATCGAGGTGAATTTGTTATCAGAGGACAGTAAAATTAGAGGCAACAGCTGCACACGCGAGTGTAGCTAGATATTGTAGCTGGGCAATCGGAGGTAGATTTCGGCCGTATCAACGGCGCCAAGCAAAAGTCGCCGGCACTAACCAAAAGCATGCAAATTGTCTTCCCCTTTATATTTTCCTCTATAAGATGTACAATTTGTGGGTTTATTCCTGATATTTGATTGTGGGGAAAAGTTCGCTTGTTCTAGAGCAGCAGTTCGATGGTGCACGGTCGCAGTTGCTGCTGGGCACCCTAGCCTCGACAGTCCGCGCCCCGAATCCTCTAGTCATGCAAGGTGAAGGGGATGGTCGCATTTTTTACTGCTTAATCATCAACTTTTTCTTCAACTACGTTCTCCTTTTTAATTTGTCCATTTAATACGATGGCAGCGGATAGTGGGGTTGCTGGGAATCGCCCCACCGATACCCCCCCAAAGCAGGGTGAGGAGATGACGCGTCGAGAACATTGTATAGCCGCCGGCGGTTGCGCTTTATCCGGGTTGATGACACTAATTCCATTTCAGTTCGTTGCTGTTATGTTGCCCGTCTTGTCAAACCACTTTCTGGATGGGAAGCAGCTCGGCAACTCCATGCTAGGTCTGTACCAGCTAGTTTGCGTCGTAACTCTTCTTATAATTCTCAAAATCGGAGCTCTCCACAGCTGGCTCATTCAAGGCGGGCTTGTGTTATCTCTGGTATGCATGGCGGCTTTCTCCCCGGCGTTCTTCTATGGATCCGTCGCCTGCCGCATTGTTCTAGTTCATATAATCCTCGGTCTCTTAGGTGCATGTAATGCTGCTTTGCAGTCTGCTGGATTTGCGAGGGCGGCAATCCTTCCAAGAAACTATGTCGGCACGACTTCGATAGGCCAGGCAACTGCGGGCTTGGTAGCCTTTGTTGTCACTGCCATTCTGATGACCAGCGTGTTCGACATGGAGGACGTCAGCGATGTTAAGTGGTTCAGCAGTATTTGCTGCGGCATATCTGTGGTTATGTGCATCCTTTCAATCGTATACATGCATATCTTCCTTAATGCGAAGGTCTGTGTTCAATCTGTAAACAATGCGTTGAACGGCGGATCTGATGGAAAGACTCAGCAGGATGATACGCCCACAGTCGCAGCCGATTTGGAGGAGCCAAAGAAGCGCCAGAATAGTGCATCCAACGGCACGCTCGACGAGTTACTGCTGCCCCCTCGGCCGTGGCTGACGATGATGCGGGGGTCTTTCTGGGAGTTGCTCAGCTTGTTTCTTGTTTTCTTCATTACATTTAACCTCTTCCCGAAGGTCGGCCCCGTATCCTTTAATTTTGAGGGAAAAGCTCCATCGAAGATGGTCCTGCTCTTTGGCATGGAGTTTATTGGAGATTTCCTTGGCCGGTCGTGCCTCAAACTGCCGGACTTGCATCCGATGTTCGGCTTCCTGTTCCTCTCGCGCAACGCCACGGTTGTCGTCTCATTTCTTCGCTTTTTGTTTTACGTCCCTTTTTTCCTGGCAATGAAGATGGAGGAAACTCCATTTATCAACAGCTTTGCTTGGCTTATGATCATCCAGCTTTTGCTCGCCTTTACGCTCGGTTGGGTCGGCACTTTATCCCTCATCCACTGTTCCATGTCCGTTACGCGCATGTCGGAGAAAGCCCGCATGGGGTCGCTATCTACCATAACGCTTTCCGTTGCTATAGGGGTGGGCCTGTACGTTGCCTTGGCTTTTTAGGGCCACTTTGTATATCTGCATAGCGTTCATTTTCCCTTCGAGGATCCTTCGTGTGTGGTCACCGCGTTGAATAGCCAGCCTGTCCCCTGATACAGCAACGGTTGGGAAAGCTTACGGGTGTGCCTTTGAATAATGTTTGAAATATACTTGAAGTATTGTCGAGATTTGCACAAGGTCTCGTGGCGTATGCGTTGCTTTGGAGAGGTGAACAGCCCTTCAGCCGAAGTCGCAGAAGAGGGCCACAAATTATACAAACGATGGTGAAATTGTGCGATGCGCTGAGCTGGTGCACAGCTTCCGCGAGAACCAGCGGAGAAACCATCTTGATAGTTTTTTGCGCACTCTTGCGCTTATGTCCTCTTTGGAAACCATCAACTCAAAAGTGAATTTGTGAGGGTGCGCGCGTATGGCCCGTAAATTCCTAGCCAAAGGCCGTAGTCGTACGTTTGCCATCCAGTTCTAGTATGGCCCGACCAGCTATTCAGCAGCTAGGCGGTTCTGGAAGTTGCACATGCAAACCAGTTGCGTTCTGTGTCAGCTGCTTCAGGGAACTGCCGGCACACAAGCTATTTACATTGCTATTACCTAATTGTCATTCGCCGCATTTGCAAAGCCCCATGTCTGCATATTGCCAGGGTCACTAGCCCTGGAGGCCTTCTTACTCGCACTGTCGTTTTGCTAGAGGGTGCACTTTCTCGTTCATAGAGTGGGTTCAGCGAGCTTCCGTACAAGTTTGTCTTTACACAGCTACCAGGTGAAATGCCGCCTACGTTCTAGGGTAGCGCGCCATTCGCAGCTGTGTAGCACAGGTTTAACGTTCCCAAGCTACGCGGTTGCCGCTTCCACTTGAATCTCAGCACAACGGCAGCCAAAGCATGGAAAGTCCCCCCGAATGCGTAAAAAGTAAACGGAAAGAAAGTCCCATTTAACAGCGAAACCGTCAGGCACAGCTCCTCCAAAAAAAAACTCGTTCTCAAAAACTCTTCGTTGAACTTAGGGAGAAGCCGCAGCAGCTGTCGATGCAGCTGGAGAAATAGCAACGTTTCCAGATAATGAAAGCATGGAACAATGCAGGCGAGTGACAAGCAAGCATAGGCCTTCGCCTATACATTCTATACTTATTGGCCTCGAGCCAACGTAACATACCCCCTACGGCAACTTCTGCTAGTAACACTTGAGCTGCTAACTCCTGCCCCAGCGCCGATAACGCCAGCGGTAGCAGTAGTATACGTCGTAAGATGGCTTCCAGCCGTACCGTGCTGCGCCAGTGCTTGGAATCGTCGGGTACTAGCTCACGGTGGAGTGTCTTCCGCCCTTTCTGCCGCGCCTCCTGCAGCGTCAGGACCAGCCCTTTGACCCGTGGCAGTTACCCCTCCACCACCCGAGTCCTTTACCTCTTTGATGCCCTCTGAGCTGTCTGGCTGGGAGGTTCGTTGCTGCCCTTCTGGTGTGGCCTCCTCACCCTCCTGATGCGCCTGCTGTTGCTGCTGTAGCAGCTGCAGCAAAGAAAAACACAGTAGTCAACAGCACTAACAACCGCTAGGAAGGCCTAACAGGAAATGGATGCAGGTTGGAAGGAATGGCGGGCCAGTGGATATGGGGAACATATTCCTACTGGTTACCTGCTGCACCGCCAGCAAGTGCGCCAGCTGGGACTTTGCGTGTCTTCCCGAGGCAGAGGACTTTTTCCGTTCCCGTTTGCTCGTGGCTGTCTGTATTCAAAGTGAATACACAGATCCAGAAGCACACTCACCTCACCGTGTCCCCCTGGTATACCTAACAAGCCGCCTGGCCCCCTTAACGCAGCAGCAACGACACCCAACGTAAACCAGTACGAGCAGCAAAGCGCATCTGCAAAAGACTTACCCGCCACTCCGCTGCATCCTGCAGAGCAGCAACTTGCTGCTTGGCCACAAGCAGGGCCTTTGCCTTGTCGTCCGCGCTGAGAAGTGCAACATCCTCCAGCTTAAGGGAGAGTAAGTCGCCTGTTAAAGATGGGGTCTCCCGCTGTTTTGTCGCGAGGCCTCTCTCTGGAAGAGGGGAAGTGGAGAGCCCCCATGACGGATGAGAACGCCCGTCAAGGGCGAGCCCCCCCCCCGAAAGGTCTGCCGAGGAAGGAGGCCCAGGCCGCCACAGGCCTGTGGAATCTCCTGCCCAGGAGTGGCCTCTTGAAGGCGGTGTAGAAGACCCATCCCACTGCTGCTGTTGCTGCTGCTGTTGCTCCGGCACCCTAGAAGTCCCATCTGCGTCTTGTGCGCTTGTGCGGGATCCCCTGAAGGCCACGCGGGGGCCCCCCGAGGGGGCCCCAATGGCCCATTTGGGTGCTGCTTTGCTGTGAGGGTTTTGACAGGTGACCCCAACTGTAGACCGTGTACCCCACTGAGGTGTCGACTTTCTGAGCTCCGCAGATCCCCTAGAAGGCAAGTGGCCATCAGGATGCTCAGAACAACCCTCTGCCACTGCTCCTACTGTTGCTGCCGTTGCTGCTGCTGGCGGGGGAGCCCCTTGAGCGTCTTCCGTTGAAACCCCTACGCGGGCACTGCCTTCAGAGGAGGCCTTCTGGGAAAAGAACTCTCTGTCGAGAGACGGCGAAGACGGCCGTGCTGCTGCCGAGGCTGGGCGGGGGGCCCCAGAACCATCAGCAGGAGAAGCTGCTGTTGCTATTGCCGATGCTGCAGGTGGTGAAGCGGGGGTGACCCGGGCTCGAACGCCCCCGATAGACGTCGACGCTCCAGAGGCAGGGGCCCCTACTACAGCAGCCCAGTTGCGCCTGTGGGTAGGCCCTCGAGGACCTTCCGGCTGAGGTTCTAAGCCCGCCAGTGCCCCACTCGGTGTAACGGGAGGAGGAGGAGGCGGTGGCGGTGGTTGTTGAGGCGGCTCTGGGATGCTCCACGTAGGACCCCCTGGAGTCCCCCCTTGTCTAAGACCCGCATCGCGGTAACGAGCAACTCTACTCGGGGCAGCAGAAGGTGTCGCCGCATGCAACCCCAAACCCTGCAGCACCGCGTTGGGGGCCCCTCCTCTTGCGTTTCTTAATGGGAGAGAAATCCCACCACGGGGGTGCGTCCCTCCCTGCTGCAGCTGATGCTGGCGCGACCAGCTGCTGGGGGTGGGTGGAGTCCCTGATACACCGCCTTCAGTTCCCCAATGCGGAGTTTGAATATCCGCTGGCTGATGGGGCATCCTATGTGTGGTTCGCATGCCTGTTGCCTGCGCGCTCCTGGTGCTGTAGCTGTTGCTGCCTGCGACTGCACTAAAGGTCCAGTCACCGGAGCCTCTACGTACGCCCCTGGAAGGCCCGGTCTCCCCAACATCCTCCGACAAATCACTAACTACGGAGGATCGGATGTCCCTTCGCTCGACACGGTTTCCTCGTTGGTACCGCTGCTGCTGCTCCTGCTGCTTCCCGCTAGGTGTAGGTGGGCTTGCGGGGCCCGCCTGCCCCGTCAGTGCCGCAACATAGGATCCCCCCGATGTGGGCAGATCTTGTTGGTACAGCAGCTGCTGTTGCCCGACTTTTGAAGAAACAGTTACATCACACCGTTCTCGAGGGAGTCTAGAGTCGGCGACGCTGCCTTTGCTGCTGCTGTTGCTGCTGTTGCTGCTGCTTCTCCGTTCCTTGTTAAAAACTACACCGTGCCTAGGCGCAGTAGGGTCGCGGTGCAGCTCACCCTGTCCTCCCAATGGAGCGTAATGGCTCCATCCAAGGGACTTCTTCGGCAGCCCTGCAACATCTTTAGCTTCGACGGGGCGGGGCAGCCCGACACCTGAACTTGAAGCATAGCCCCGGCCTTGATGCAGTGGTTGTGCCCTTGCTGCGACAATTGGCGAAAATGATGTCATATGGTGGCCCTGCTGAAAGTTCGCAGCGCCCCCAGGGGCCAAAGGGCACCCTTGGCGTGCCATTCCACCGTGCAGGCGTCTCCTACCGATTCCTCCAACGGGTGACCCCTCTCCACCAGCTGCACCAGCAGCAGATGGCGAATTGCCGTCCTCTCCACGCCAGTGAGATATGGCACTCGCCCCCAGTGGAACTCCAGCTGCAGCTGATGACGGCCCCTCCAGGGGAGCTCCAATCAACGTTGCCTGGGCAGAGAATTGCCGCCGCGATTGCCAGTAAGGATCTCGACTAGGAGGTAGCGCATGCATGGGATGATGCTGCTGCATATGCTGCAACAGCAGATGATGCTGCTGCTGATGCTGCAGGGAGTTTCTCCCCCCACCAGCTCTATGGCGCATAATAGAAAAAGGATGGGCTCTCCTCAGGCGATCGTTGTAAGATCCCCGGGAGCCCCGTGGAGCCCCCTCCCCCGCCATCCTATGCCCTCCTCCCCGAGTGTCCCACGAGGTGCGCCCTAGACTACACGCGCTTCTTGGTGATCCTATGGACGGTGGGCCCCCAGCGGTTCTCATCTCATTTGCGTAGCTGCCAGCGCTGCTATTCCGCCTACACCCCCTGGTGCAATATGGAAGAAGAATCTGAATTGTAATGGCTGCTTCTGCTGCTGCTGCTGCCTCAATAGGAAGGACCGTTGCTTCGGGAACACTCGGCGTGTGCCCTGTCGCGCCTCCGGCCCAACCTTCTTCCGCCATCCCAACCGACGCTTCACTGCTGCTCGACGGAGGAGCAGCACATTCCTCGGATGCTCTTGCTGGGGTAGCGTTACGATGGCTACAAATGCAAAGGCGAGACCCGAAGGCGTTCAGGGATGCACATGCGTGGTGGGCCCCCCCCTTTCTTGTCACTTCGGGGGATACCCCAGAGTTGTCGCCCTCCCCTGGTGTCTTGCACAAAAGTTGGCAGAGAGCCAACAGACCCCTCAACTCCTCGTCAGCCAGCTGCAGATTGATTTTGTGCCCTGCCTGACCTTGGTGTTGATGCTGGTGCTGCTGTTGCTGTTGCTGCTCCTGTTGTTGCTGGCCCAGTGAGTGATTCGCCGTTGGGCGTGGACAAAGTGAGGCACCCTCAATTCCAGGCGACCTGACAAGCCCCTCCTGCACGTGTTCTTCAGACTGCTGTCCATCCTCGGCGCCCTCAACTATTCTACCTTGGGACTCTGCGGAGCAGGACGCCCCTCGAGGGCCTTGTGAAGACAGTTGCGGGTGTCCACACTGCCCCGACGGACTCTGCCTATCCCCAAATTCCAACGGTGCCCCCGTCTTCGAATGAAGACACTTTAGAAATTCTGCATACGGGTCTCTAGTAGGGCAAGGTACCCTATCATCTTCAAGAACCGCTCGAGGGTACTGGGAAGGCCCTCGGTTGAGTCTTAGGAGGACAAGCGGCTTGATCAGTGGCTCTTGGGTCTGTTCGTGTCGAAGACGCTGGAGGTAGCTGTAGCTGTTCTTGAACACTAGGGATTGGAAAGCCCCTTTGTCGCCCCGCTGTAGCACCGCGGTGAGAGTGGCATGCCCCCTCTTTAAAGCATCCACCAGTCTAATGAAGGCAGGCTCACTGACACTTCGTCCCAAATTGTTTGTATTCAAAAGTGGATCAACTACATTGATGCACCGAAGTGTGAAGACCCCAGTACCGCCTGAACGAGGCGCCGGACGCGAATGGTAAGGAGGAATAAAGGAGCCCCCCAGGCCCCGCCCGCTTGGCTGAGACCAACGGCTCATAGGAGTCGTTGGGGCGCTGACGCGCCCACTGCCACTGCTGCTACTACTGCTGTATTGAGCAGTGGGGGAGCTGGGTTCCGGCCAGCCAAAGGCCTGCCCACTCCGGGAAGTCCCTGGAAAGCGTGACGGGCCCCCCATACCTCCGTAGCACATGCGGAACCTGCACCAAACACCAACGATAGCAACAGCCCTACATATCGCCGGATATACCCTCTGTGTTCCGAGGTATCTGGCGCAAAATAGAAAACAGCGAAACTAGAGGAGAAACTATAGCCTAGAGAGGAAGCCAAAGAGAGACTAGGAGACACCAAGTGGCAGACTACCGCAGAAGATCACGCACCCCGCCCCCCTCAATGGGCTCAGGTGTCGCAAGTCCCTGCCACCCCCTGCCAACGATACGTCGAAAAGAAAACAAGCATTCAGACTTGTGCAAACCTTCTCGTCAGTCCACTAGCTTTTTCAAGCGAAGTGCCGGGCAATGACTATCGAAGCCCCTCGCAAGAAAACATGCGCTATTTCTATACCGAGATTTCGATGCTCTATCAGTGTGCCTTGCCGTCCACGTGGATCCTTTTAGTGCCGCCCGTGTGTGCGCCTCTGTTATTGTGTGCAGTCCCACATTTTGCAGTTCCCGCTCTTTGCTGTACGTTCGTTCGTCTGTTCTAAAGCATCTGGGCCCCTACCCGCACCCCTATTTCTGCACGATCACGCTCCCTTCTCTACATATAGTTATACTTTCCCTGTAAGTCTCTTCGTCTCTGCTCCTTTCTGCCTCCTTCAGAGTATGCAGCTTTGTGCCTGTCGTGAGTGCCAAAAATGCATGTGGGCGTGTCCGTGCCGTTGTCTTCGTACTTGTCTACGGTATCAAACTCACCGTCTCCTGCATTCTTCTACGAAGGCAAAGTTCGCGATACATTTGCAAACTTGTATCGTGACAGTCTCCCTCGAGAACCCCCTCTCAGGGTGGATGTGCTGCGAGACGAAGGCCAGACGTTCAAGTCGCGGATCTCCGTCTCTGTGGCTGCCGCTGCTCTGCTCTGAGATTTCCAATAACTCATTCAAGAACGGCAATTGCTGAAGCTGCAATTGCTGCTGCTGCGGTTCACACCCCTGCTGCTGCAGCTGCTGTAGCAGCAATATTTGCTGCTGCTGCTGTTGATTTGCGAGGCGCAAAAGCCACAGGGGGAGAGGCCCCGCCGCAGTGGCGGCAAAGGCTGCCCAATCAAAGCTAGAAAAGTAGGATAGGAACGCCTGGAGGACCTGAAGGGGACTTCGAAGCTTTGAAGCCGGGAGACAGGAAAACAGATGCAACACCAGCACTTCCAGGCAGTACGATGCCAGAAGGCCCGAACGGCTCCCAAGTAAGTGGCTCTCGTACGCCATCCATGCCTACGACGCACGCAACCAGACGCTGAAATGGCTCGATGCCTCGAGTACAAATGCCTCTCGCAAAAAGAGTGCTGATGAGAAACAACGGCAACAGGAACCAACAAGCCAACAACACAAGTCGAGAAAGCAACAGCAGCAGGCACAATCTACTCAACATCTCAACACTCGGCATTCCGCCTTCAGCGCTACAGCAAAAACTTCCCATCCGCAGCCAGCCACGCCAAAACCTCTCCCTCCCCAAAAGCATCCATATCCATAGTGCTCGCAGGTGAAGGCCTGCACCCTGGCGCTGCATGCACCAGCCCCATTTGGTAAAAAAGTCCCCCTGAGAGGCAAGGGCAGGTCTGTGACCTGGAACCCGCACTGCAGAGAACAAAGACCTCTCACCTTCACGAGAATCACAGAACGCTTAAAAAGATGAAAACGCCCAATGCGACGATCGAGGAGTTCCAGCAGGGCTAACGAACAACAGCCTCCCACCTGTGGAGCAAAGGGCAAACGGATGTACAAAAAAACCACAGGTTTGGCGCCCGTTTTGCCCCCCTGTTTCCATAATGCTGCACCTGTCTCTCTCCTGCGTGTTCGTCGCGGTCTGTGCCGCTCAGCTCCTGCTTAGTTTCTGGCGACCCTTCTGCGTTCGCTGTGGTTCATGCCTCTTACCTTGTTCACCGACAAATCCACAGCAAGACTGTCAACTTCAAGCTTTAAAATCTTCACGTCCGCCTTCACCAAGTGGACATTGCGAATGCGAGGCCCCCTGGAGCCCCGTGTGCCAGGGCCACGAGGGCCCCTGGATCCCACCGGATCCCCACAGGATGAGTCTGAGCTGTCTCCCCATGATTCGACCTTCAGGTCGCCTCGCCTAAATCTGAGGTGTAGATAAACCAGAAAAGCTTCGCTTTCCTCCTCGCCTTCCACCACCCCCGTCTCTGGAGAAAAAGTTATGACTCCTACGTCCAAGTCTCCGTCGGGCAGGTAAGTGAGCAAAGGAAAGGAGCCATAACGTAGAACAGCCACGCATATATCGGACAGACACCGCACACTGCAGCTGGCGCCGCTAGAATCAGTGCTGCTGCTGGTGGTGGTGGTGCTGCTGCTATTGGTGGTGCTGCTGCCACTCGCGCCTCCTGATACGTCGCAGCCGTTGCCATTGCCGGGCACTTGGCTGGCGCTGTGGCCTAGGCCGCTGCTGATACTGCTGGGGTCATCGGATGATGCCTGCAACAGAGATGGAGGCACGGATGCTTTCTTACACTCAAAACCGGAAGACGGAGCTTGGCGCCACTCAGGTGCTGTTGCTGCGGCTTTCCCAGCTGCTCCTGCCAGCGCTGCTGCGGCAGTAGGCGAAGGAGATGAAGAAACCGAGAAAAATGAAGAGGGAGAGTCCGTGCGCGCCCGGCAGCAACTTGACGCTCCCCTGCACAGACGCCTGTCGTGCTCCTGGTGCTCCTGGTGCTCCTGCTGCTGCTGAGGTTCCCCTTGCTGCGGCTGCTTCTCTTGGTCATGCTCACGCAGCATGACCTCGGGAGGCAGCAAAACTGTTTCGGTTCCCAAGGGGTGGCGCTCGCTAGAAGACCCTTGCTCTTGGCTGCCTGCTGCATCATCTCCTTGCTGTTTTGCACCCTGCTGCTGCCCCTGTTGTTGCTTCTGCTCACAACACTGCCCTTCCCGCAGCGTCACCTGTGGTTGCCGTTCCTCTTTCAACTGGTCCAGAGAGGAATCAGGTCCCGGTTCTTGCTGCTCTTCTTCTTCCTCCCGACTTTGCTGTGGGTGCTGCCGCAGTACGTGCTGCTGTTGTTGCTGCTGTTGCAGCACCTGCTGCTGCCGCCACAGGACCCTAAAATCTGTGAAGGCCTCGAGAATGGCGGCGCGAAGGTGCTCAAACGCCTCCGCCCGAACCCTCGACCTCTCCTCATTGGGACCTGCACAAACACGCATTCTTGCAGGTTTCGACAGTGAAGAAGCTCTACGAAAGACAGAGCCACAGGGCTGCATAGTTCCCTGCTCCCCAGCCTGTTAGAGAGGCTACGAAGGGGATTACCAAGGGCAGAAATGAAGTCGTCCGCAAGAGCATCGAATTCAGGTGGCACTGGCGGCAGTTCCATCGCTGCTGCTGCTGTTGCTGCTGTTGCTGCTGCGGCGGCTGCTGCGTCAGCAGCTGGTGCTGCCGGTGTCACAGCTGAAGGCGGGGGGCTCCGAAGGCTCTACCCCTCATGGCTTTCTGAGGTATTGCTGCCAAATGGAAGTTCACACGGGGAAGGCTATTCACGCAGCAGCAGCAGCGCCGGTAGCAGCAGACGACAACCAGCGCCACCCCCGACGCCTGGAGTGAGGGGGGTCCGTCAACTCTTCCGCAGGAGCAAGGTGGCTATAATTTTTGAGCTCCCCGTTTAAGCGCATGAATATATTCTCCCTGTTGCTGCTATTGCTCACGCTGCAGTTTCTGACCCAGCTGCCGCGGCGCATGCAATTGCTGCTAGACTGGAAAATAGCCACGGGTACGTCGTCCCTGTGTCTGTTGAGAATAGAGGGCCCCTAGATAGCGAGAATGTCAATGAAATTGCATGGAAAATCAGGGCATCAAGGAGGAAGGGGCCCCCACCGAATAGTCTGCTGCTCGGGGCCTGCGTAATAATTCAGCAGCAGCTGCTGCTTGCTCCAGCAGCTGCTGCTCACGCTGACTGTAGTGTCTCGAGTAGCGCAATAATTGATTGTGAACATGTGGCTGACGATTCTGTTTCCAAGTGCATTTACAAACCATTCCATCTCTGCCGATCTCCCCCTTTATCTCCTATACCGCCCCTGCTGCCGGTGCTCCTGCCGCATGTGCTGCTACATCGCTCATGTAGGGGCTTGGCTTTGGAGCGGGCTAGTGGCTTCTCCACGGAGGACTCTGTCGCATAAGCGAATATTTTGTTGGAAATGTAGAGATCACACACGATGATAGGGCAAGAGAGGGTGTTACCTGTGCCTTAGAGCGCATGAGGATAGACGCTGATGCGGCTAGAGCCCTGCACGGGTACAAGCTCCATTGACCGCTGTTGTGTTGAGCGCTGTGCCGAATGTTAAGGATGGAATGCAACTCGTAATAACAAACTTTAAGGTTCCCCTACGTCTCACAAGTATTTACGGCTCAAGTAATATAACGGTGCTGTTGCCAACCCGGGAGGTAGCCTATTGCGAGGTCGCTGACAAGCCGGTGCATGTATAGGCATGGAGGCCGCCCCCTGATGACAAAACAGGTGTTTAAGAACTGTCTACTGGGCTACTGCACACGGGAAACTGGGCTTGCTTGTGTTCGCAGCCGGGTCTGCTATGCAGCATTAGCAGCGAGGTGCGGTGATGCTCAGGAGTGGCCGGTGCCTGTCTGCAGCAGCCCCAGGGCCTTGGCCGCTGAAACCAGGACGCCTAGGGTTATACGGGCATGTCAGCTGCTTTCTTAGCAACTTCTACCCAAGTCGTTTGGCGCTACTGCAGCTCAAGACAGTCCCCGGATGGTCAACGACACCTTTTACACTTGGTAGCGCGGGCTAGTTCATTAGGATGGGTCTAGCAACGAACCCCACCTCACAGCAGGGCGGTCTGGCGAGCAGAAGTGACTAGTGCCGAGAGTGTTTCTAGGGGACAAAAGTTGATACTCTCCCAAAATCTTTCTCACAACCTCAGCCATCTGAGAAATGAACAGGATGCTGAGCCTATTGATATTGGAATGGTAGATGATAGCCCCACCCAGAAGAGGAAAAGGGAGCTAAACTATACCAGCCAGGGAATTCGGCCCCAGGAAAGCTGGGGGAGCTTGCCAAGCGGCGCAGCTGGTCCTGGTGCAATGAACAATAGCGCGCAATTCAAGACTGCAGGCGCATGCAAAAAGAGACGGAATTTCGAGAAGTACGACATCGAAAAGCACCACCAATGGAACACACAAATGGATTTGGCAAACTCCGTAGCCCCTATGCAAGGGGAGGCTCATGATGTTAGCGAGAGAAGTGGAAACGGCACTTCAGATCCGTCTCGCGTCAAATCCGTGCTTATCCAAGATATTATTACTAGTCAATAGCTGAAGCCGCTATTTGACATAGGCTGCAAAATGTATTTGATATCGGAAGGTAGGGCGAGAAGGTGCAACCTACATGTTTATTCGTTTGCGCACTCTCTCTGTGTAGGGGTTTCGCTGATGAGAGACCGGATGAGAGAACTACTAAAACTGTGGGGGGGAAGTTGGGGCCCCATTTAGATATGGGCCAAATTACCACGTTATTGGACTTCCATATTGGCTTAATTTACCACGATGTAAACCCAGGCACGCCGCAGGTGAGCCAGTGGGGGGCACAGATGCAACCTCCCTACGAAACTATTGAGGTCAATGCGCCAAGACCAAGAAGCACTGAGAGAGTGCGCCTCTCAACGCTATCAGAGGCATTTGCATCTTCTACAGTCAGAGAAATGGAAGCAGTGTGCAGAGGAGAAGGGGATCAAGGAGGCTCCAAAGCAGTGCAGAGGTGCTGGAAGAAAAGACGAAGGAATGCATGCACACTGTCGTGTTGATCGGGCGGAGAGCGCAATTTGGGGAAATTGGATCCACTTAGCAACTGAGGAATAGTGTAAATAGGCACAATTGAAGGAAACGTTCTTAGATGTACTGACTAGAAAAGAGCTACTGGCGGGCCGCCCACCTGCTGGATACCCAAGTCATCCAATGCACCACATCGAACTCCTTCCCAGAGTAGCCCCAATTATTACTCCAAGGTAGTGGCAGACCCCACGTGCTGGAGAGGAAATCGAATGGAGAGCAGAGCAACTGCTGAAAAAATGCGAGGTTCAAGCATCAACTAGCACAATAGGACATTACTCCTGTGTTGACGCAGAAAAAGGGCGGGAGGTTTCGCACACGCGTCGACATCAGGTCCTTAGACATAAATACGGTGAAACAAATGTTCCATTTGCCCCCTACAGACGACTTGATTGCTGCAGGATCTAGTAGTCCAGTTATTATTTTCCCTGAAGCGGATTGGTGCATCCCGATACATCCCGGTGGCAGGCCCAAAGCTGAGTCCAATACCTGCACTCAAACTAGAGTACGTGCGCATGCCACTTGGGCCCGTAAATGCTTCTATCAAACTAGCGGAAGGTCATTAACGATTCCTTCGGCACAACCAAAGCGCGGACTATCTCCAAATATTCACTAGCCATGTGTGGAAGTACATGCTGGCACAATATGTACGACTTTATTTTCAGCGAAATCCGTCAAATGGGCTTGATTTTCTACTGCTTGCGGAGTGCGTTTATACTGCAGCAGTGCATCCTTCGACTGGCTGCTCTATTGCATCCATTGTCTATACCTAAGCATCGTTGCCTGACTGGGCGTTATATCTGGCTGTTGAAAGTTAGCCCGGTAAGCCCGCTGCTCCCGATGCCCATGCGCAAGTTGTAGGGAAGCGTTAGTGCACGACAAAAACGCAAGGCAAGACACTATGACAAGCGCCGCTCAGCATTCATTTTCACTCATGGGGGTTGGGTTTGGCGGATACGGACTCTTTCTGAAGCGCACAGAATGGAGACAACCCGGAAAAACCTGCTGTACGTTTGAAGTACCCTCTGGTGTTCGTTATCGGGTTAACGCGTTGGCTTGCATCGTCAACTGGCCCCTAGCATGGGGTTGCCATCATACTACTGATGATGGGTTTCTAAAGCGATTCTGCGAATCACCGAAATCCCCTTGAACGTTGCCAACAAAGCGCACCAGCATGGTAGTGAAAAGGCACAACAAGAGGAGAGCCAGATTATGGAGAAACGTATAACGCCTCACAGCGGCCCCCGGAAACAGAAAAATTAGGTTTTTGTACAGGGCAGTGGCAACCTGAGTGGGCTTCTCAGGATCCCTTGCGCGAAGCAATACCTCAGGAGCAACTACGTGCCCTCATCAGCTCTACTAGAGCGACTGGAAATATAGGCATGAGCTGCACGGCTCGAAGCTTGGCCATGTTCATCCATTCTGCGACAGCTCTATAACTGACGCAGAGTCCCTCCTATCGTTTTTCCTGCTATCTACGGTGCTCATTACTTCGTGCTGTAATCTTCACCCTTCTCTGTAAGTACAGTTGGTCTGGCGTAGCTGCAGACAGTAGTACCTTTATTTCTTTCATTTTGAAGCTGCGGCCTACCCCTTGAGGGCCAGCTTCACCCCTGCCAACTCGATCTCTGTCTGATGCGGCCCAGTGGCCGCCGCTCAGTGCATCATTCCAAATGGGTTGTGATGCAGGCACCCAGAAGGGGCTACCAGCCTTTTATTGCACAACAGAGAGCTCGGTACATGGCTAGTGGCTACGCCACTGGACAGGCCCAACGGCACTCACCGCTGGTCGGTTGAGGAAGAAGCATAGAAAAGTGCTGTCCCCAATTGCCATCTTCTTTTCCTCATTATTTTTCACTCCTTACTTCCTTAGGGGCGACGACGTACACGAGGAAGTGCTCTGCTTGAGGGAGATGCAGGTGCAGACCTGTGTGGAATTAGTGAGTGGATCTCTACTGGAGTGCAGGCTGCCCTCCAGCGGCAAAGTAAGTCTTTAACAACTGTCTATAAGGCTATTACATGCGGAAAAGCGGGGTTGGCTGTGCATTCACGGGAGGGGCTGCCCTGAAGCATGAGCTGCGCCGCACCTTGCTGCAACTAATGGCTGCCCTGCAGCATTAGTTGCAGCGAGGTGCGGCGCGGCTCATGATCATCCTGCTCTTCTCCGCTCCAGCACCAAGGCCTAGGCCGCTATGCTCAAGCCGCCTCGGGAAGGAAGATGAGGTCAGGTAGTTTCCATGACCCCTTGCTTTTAGCATTTTGGGTGGGCTGCAGCTCACAACGGTCGTCAGATAGGATCGCGGAGTCTCTTTGCTCGTTGCACGGAGTGCACCGGCACTACAAAGGTGCTCAAATCGGTCCCCCACCTGCCTGTCGAGCGGAAAGAGTAAAAACGTCTAAATAGAAATGAAACAAGTAACATTAAATAGAAAAGCAAGCCGTGAGGATAAGGTAGCTCTGCAAGGGCCCCAGGTCCGCGGCTGGCTGCGGTTGGCACTGCCCAGGCGCCGAGCCGCTTAGAGGTCACAGGAGGAGTTCTAGTACTCTTCAAAAGCGAATGTGCATTTTTAGGGTTCTACCTGTCATCTTGGAGAATCAAGGGGAGAGTCGCTGACTGTAGCGATAGATATGGAGTGTGCATCTAATTGTGTGTGTATAGGGTAGCACGTAGCCGTGGTGAGAGCTGTTCACTACCGCGCATCCCCACTGTCCCCGTCATATCTGGACAGCTTGAAAACGTTTAGACCCTCTCATTGATTTCTTGGCAAAGCCTAGTCAAGAGAAAATCGCTCGCTTCAATGCGACGCGCTGCACGGTCGTGGATCGCATTCGTAGCCGACGGGAGTGGATCGTGATCAGGATCTCGTGCAATGTATCATGCCGGCGTAGAAGAAGAACTAATTTTTTTAAAAAGTAGGAATAACAACTAAAGATCTTTCTCTTTTTTTCTCAAAGCCCCAGAGAATCAATCGGTTGTGTGCCCTAGGCCGCGCAACTGTGGGGGAGAACGGAGGAAGTGTGACGAGAGCGCTCGCTCGATCTTGGCCGGGGCCCGCCGTGAGCTGCAAAATAGGATTAAATCACTAGAAAAACCCCTTCTATGGGCTCTTCATGAAGGAGGTGATACGGAGCGGAATCACTGAACTTCCTTCAAACAACGTTGGCATTGAGCTGCGAGGCGTTGATCGGTTGAGCGTTGATTCCGCTACCGGTGACTTTTGCGCAGTGGCAGTATCCCCTATCGGACGTTGTGGGTTATCCGTCACAGAAGTAGAAGATCGCATGACACAATAAATACAATAATAATAAAACTTTCTGATCGGTACGACAGGAGTAAAACACACGCTTTATGCAAACAGCTCCAGCCGCAGGCGCACAGTTGAGATCGGCGCGAGCCGCGCGGGTGCTGCGGTTCGGTTTCCAGCGCGAGATAGGCTGCATCCTAATTCTCCGCCTTCTTTCAAGGAAAATTTTTGAATGCCTCATTTATTGGAATATTTTTAAATTCGTTTGCGTTTTGTTTCGCCTTGGCCGGTTTTCGTAGGCCCGGCGAGTCCCTGCAGTTTCCGTTAGCTGCCGAGCGACCGGGGTGTGTACTCCTCTCCAGCTCCGTGCTGAAAAAATGGTGGAAAATTCAGCTTCTTCCTTTTTTCAACACTCTGTTGAGCCCCCCTCCTTAATGAATGGGGGGAGAGACGGATTAGTGGATCTGACACGGGGTATCTACCTAGGCAAGACACACAGCAAGGGCGTACCAAGATCGATTATCCTGCTTGCTACCGTAGTTGTTGCCGTTGCTATCGTCTATCTCGTGTCTCGTTGCTCTGTACGGCTCGGGCTCAAGGGCGGAGGCAGCTCGAGAAGGCTAGCAGAAGAGGTCGGATCAGGACACCCCCAAATACTACTAGAAGCATGCTGCCGCCGTAGCCGTTGCTTCTGCTGGTGCTGCGGCCACTGTTTCTGCTGCTGCCACATTACAGAGCAGGACGTCGGCATCTTCTTAGTTTCACAGAAGAGTTGGCGACTCGTCTGTTATCCTTGCGTTACATTTTCTGCAGGGGCACAATTGGCCAAGCCTGTTGGACCTTTGCGTTTCAATCAGTTCTCATACAGGATCAGAAGGGACTGAAGAGCTTTCACCTCCAGAGGATCAAGAAGCTGCAGGCCCTGCGGAGCCGTCTGAAGAGCCTTCACCTCCAGAGGATCAAGGAGCTGCAGCCCCTGCGGAGCCGTCTGAAGAGCCTTCACCTCCAGAGGATCAAGGAGCTGCAGGCCCTGCGGGGCCGTATACTCCACCTTCGACATCACCTAGGTTGCCATATGATTTCCCTCGCATTTCGGCTATGGACGTGCGTGTTTCCTGTTGTTATCTTGAGTGTCTGCCTTGCATCTGCAGTCTGTTTAACTTTCGCTCGTTAAAATAACGAGTGTTGGATGGAGTGCATGGACAATCGCGTGCATGTGTTCCGCTGCCACAGGGGGGAGACAGAGCGGCGTCAAGTTTGGGGGATTGCATGAAGCTTATAAAATACATCTCAACCTCTGGGCACGACGTAGGAGGAGGTAAAATAGCAGCTTTTGGATTTTCTTCTGCATCGGGAAACGTGATGCACCGGGTGTTGTCCTTTGGGACAGGAAGCTCCAGGTGAATTTTGGCTGCCCGTTCTTGCCACTGTCCTATTTCGATGCAGGGGCAGCAGCGGCCATCTTCAACGCCCCATTTCCAGCCAGTTCTGTAAAGGTATTCCTCGAGGCGTCGGTAAGCCGTCTGTACAGAGCTGGTTGCGTTCTCTCTCCTTTCCTGTTAAAGCAATGCAGTCGCTCCAGCGCTATTGAAACCGCTGAAATGGGAGTACATGGACACAGAAAAGGTTTTTTACTAGGGACCATTTGCATTGCTTGTTTTTGCGCAGGGAGGTCCTAGAGGATGGCCGACTGCACAGGTAAGGACGCTTACAGCAGCACAGCTGTGGAGAGGTTGGCATCCCCTGCATTTGTCGTCACTTGTTGCTTAATTACGTTCATTTCATGGGTCTTTTTACCTTGCTGTCGGGTGCATGCAGTCTCGTTGGGAATTGGGACAAAGGCTAGAAGACACTGTGCTCGCCGTGGTTGAAGGTCTGCAAGGACCTTCTTGTAAGTAACGTCTGGATTAAGAACGCATGCACTTCGTGAACAACTAAGAAATTAGCAATGTATACACCAATAAATCTGGAAATTAATTGTCATCCCTCAATAGCTTGAAGAGTGCTGTCCCCTTCCCCTTTTTGTTTCAATCAGCGTGTGCTTCCCGCATTTGGTATGCGTGCAATGTTTTTTCTCTGCAAAATCTGCACTGATTCATTCGCTTTAGTAGCCGTAAAATGACGCAATGCGTTTTATTGGTGCAACCTGTCATGTTGAGGGCGGTGAATTTTCTCCGCAGCCCCATCCCATGCAGCGAACGTGGTCACCGTCAAGGCGAGATTCCCAGATGATTCCGCAGCGTCAATCATCCTCACTGTGGTTGGTATGTTTTGCAATACCTCAGCATGAATGCACCTGCAAGGAGTGCACGTTGTCCTGCACTATTCTTCTTTCAATTGACTCTCTTGTGCTCTACGTGTGATGTTTCGATTTCAAAGTCTCACTTTATCGTTTTTAGCTTGATCTGTAGGAGGTTGAATTTCGCATTTCCCTGCATTTTTCGTGTCAGATTCGCGTTAAATGTTTTTAAAGATCGAGACCCAGCGCACACTGGGTTCAGCAGGTCACATGAGCGTTAACTTGCCGGCCACCACTGAAGCGTGCACCAGATTCTTTTTGCAACCGACATTTCTATAGTTCTCGATCGAGGCCACGGTGTGGGAAAGGTGATTGCAAATATCTATGTTTGGTGCACTGCTCTCTGCGTTCTTCTTTTCTTTACAGGGGAGAAGACTGGAGAGGGGGACGAAGAAGTTGAGCACTTTGTTTGAGGAAGTATTGAGCAATTCGGCGTTGCTTTCGTCTGCCTGCGACCGCGCCTCATGCCGCTTGCGAGAGCTGCAGTGTTTCATCGTCCGTTTGCCGCAGTTTTAACGAGCAGGGATAGGAAGAAATGAGCATGGCACCACTCCGACCAGCCTTTTACCTTCAAGAAGGCCACCTCTCCGTGCGACCAACCGCGCAGTGCAAAAAACCGCTTGTTCTTCTGTTTTTAAACTTTGTTCTGGTATAGATACTGGGCCAGGTAAATGTTTAAACCACTCTTTTTCTTCCACGAGCCGCCTCACACATATCAGACTTCCCTGGGTCGTTTGTTTACCTCCGAGTTCCGCCAGCGGCAGGAGGGCGACAGACTGAGTTAATAGTTCGCCCCAGAACGTTTGGAGCAAGTAAGGCGAAAGTTGCGCAGCGAATTCCCCTGTAGATATCAGGGAGTAATGAACAGGTTGATGGACAGATCGGCGGATGGAGAGGCATCCAAAATCCGTCCTCTGTATCAGCCTCCCGCTATGTTGAGCAAGTTAAGGGCAGTGGCAGGCAGAAGCCGCAGCCTCATGAGCTGCTCCCCCTAGATGAAGTACAAGTAGTTTCACGTGGCTCGCTGACCAAAGCGATGGTTTTTCTCTTGCGGAGCCCTCTCCAGGCCCGTTTTTTTCTTCAGTTGTTTGTTTGGGACCTGGCTGTAGTTCATTTGAAATTTTACATTACTTCAGGCACAATTCAAAGTAGGACGCTAGTACGGCCCGGCCAGTTCCGCTTGATGGTTTCGCACCTCTGCCCTGTGCTGCTTTTCAGTTAGAAGTGCTGTTTTGACTAGGAAATGTACTAGTGGAAGAACGCTTTTGCTTTTGCTTACCGCTGGCCGGAGTAGTTCGTGGAGAGGGCACTTCCTGTTGTTTTCGAACAATGGGCGAGAAGGCCCGTGACTCTTTTCAGTCGCATGGCCTTTCAAGGGGTGCTGAGTTCAAAATATGCTTCTGAAGTAGGCAAATACTGATTCCGCCTCTACCCACCGTTTTAGTTGCTAGGACGGCGGCATGGCAACGCAGAGGGAAGTGCTACCCTGCAACGGGAGGCAAAGCAGAGGCGGGACACTGGAAGCCCTTACGAACATCTCGCATGTTTATTAATTTTGCAATTTTTTGGAATGCTATACCGTGACGTCTCGTAGGAATTGGCTCATCGCCGCTATCAGGAGCACAGGGAACTTCGGGGGAAACCCGAGGTGCCGAGCCGACAGAAAAGAATAGTCTGTGCCAGAAGTGAGAAGCAGGAATTCATTTTCACCTGCAAAATTTGTATGTATTCAATGTTTTTATTTCATTAAAGAATCTATATTTGCCGAGTTCGACCCTTCTGCGCTTACAACGTGCATCTTGGATCGAGAGTGCAACAAGGGGGGTATCCCAACTAACGCGTGAGGATCGGGGAGGAGCTTTTCTTCTCCGCACTACAAGCTCTTTGAATTGATATTCCTAATTTGTTTATATTTGTTACACTCCTTGCATTTTCCACATATCGTCGCACTTCCCCCAGTGGACGTCGCTCCGTCAGTTTTCCGTGGTTCTGCTTTGCACGACCACTGGTCCGGGGCGTTGCCCTTTTGTTTTGCTTCACCGATGGTGAAGGCGTTCTTAAAACCCGTTTAAAACTTCTTTATTCCCTTCATAATTCCATGGAGAAGACGGTTAACCTTATTCTCCCAAACGCTGGGGAGGGCCAGGAGGCGCCCGATGATTCTCGGCCGCAACGATGGAGAGTCAGGGCAGACAGGCGGATGCTGCATCGAAGACAAACAGGCAGAGTGTCGGCGTTGCTCCTTCTGGTTGTTTCTGCTGCCATCTTCTCCGTTTTGAGGAGGACTTTGGGTGGGGTAAGCAGGCCACCAGAGACCTTCCTGCTCGCATGCCTCTTTTCTGTAAATCAGCAAATCTAATTTGTTCCTCGAATCCTCATCTTCAGCAACTCCATCCATTCTGATATTCGATCGGGACATGTCTGTCTGCCTGTATCTGAGGAACCCGCACGAGGCATACGGGCTGCACCTTCTTAGTAGCTTGTTTTATTTCTGTTGTCCGTTGTTTACTGTCTGCCTTCTGTTGCCTGTGGAAGATATGCAATCCGCTGAGTGATGTATGATTCTTTTTGTGTGGTGTCTGCTGTCGAGGCTGTTGTGTGTGTACTATTCGCTTTGCTTGGCCCGTTGTCTCCGCGTTTTACTCGTTGTTACTCAATTGCATGCGCACTCCGGTCCTCAGGCCTCTAGGGCTTCTTCGGAAATCCCTAAAGCGCCTGAGACCGACAACGAGTTTTTGTCTGAGGCTCGGGAGCATCAAGGACACGAGCCGTATGACCTCTTAAAGGGCGGTGGACATCTCTTCCCTACTATACATCACGCACCAGTAGGCAACCCTCTTCCATATGCATTTCTCCTTGAGTATTGCTTTTACTTTGTTGTTACTCGCATGCGGCACCGTAGCCATTCAGATAAAACACTGCAGCAAATAAACGCGGTGCTTCAGCCTTCCCACGAGATGGCCATCTCCTCAAGGCCCTGCTGGTAGAGTTGCTGAGGTTGCTTTGATACTGCTGCTGCTCTCTGGCACTCAGACGCGAACAATGCTGTTCGAGGCGATGCGCTTTGCCTTGGAGTCTCAGCGGGCCCGTAAGGGCTTCAGCGCTCGTAAGCTTTTCTCGAAGTTTAGATGGACGCAATATCTCTTGAAGAGAACACAGAGCCGGAGTGCATCTAAGGAGCGATTGAGGTTTAAAAGTGTGCGTCTGCGATGGCTGTTCTTAATATGAATATGAATAGGCCGCCTTCTCAGTCTGTCAGATGCCTTGCAGTGCTTTCTTTGCTTCACAGGTTTCGTTGCTGCAGACGGTGAAGGGGTGCAGGTGCAAGTTGATGCGCAGCTACGGGTAGGCAATGATCAGCACGCAGAAGACAAGGACTCATCAGGATTTGGAGGCCTTGTTTGCTCTTTAATAACCTTCAGTGGCCTTAGTGGCGTTCCTTAGCCAGGGGGAGGCAACATAGCAGCAACATAGCAGCAGAACTCTTGCCCCTGCGCATGCTGTCTTCGTGTTGTGCAGGAGGAGGGGGAAGACTTTCACATTTTCGATGTAGGCCCATTGCAGTAGTAGTCTGAACACCCTCCGCAGCATTCGCTGGTGGTGTCAACCCTAAGCCAGTGCTCTAGCAGTGGCTTAGGGTTTAGGGCTTAGGGTTTAGGGTTTACATAGGGTTAAAGGTTGTTTGCGTCCTGCCCTTGTGTTTGCTTCTGGCTCTTAGACTTCGGAACTACTTGCAGGGTACCTCGAAGCGGCCGTTAACGGATCAATTGGTGAAGCTCACGAGCTTGGTGAGAGGCAGGGGGGAGAGGGGGTGATTGTTGTTGCTGTGTGCATACACACCTGCAAGCGGTGTAGAAGCAGCCTTATTTTTGCATTTATACTTACGCTCTGAGTCTATAGGACAGTTTAGACATCTCGATTGTTCTCCAATTTAAAAACTGCACACGGAGCACCCCTCTGTACACTTTACATTTTTATCGCTGCAAGTCTTTTGTAGGCCATTGCCGTTTCTTTGCTGTATTTCTCCTGGTTTATCCTTATATATGATTCCTGCTGGCCTGCTCTTTTTGCTAGCTGCTACCGTCTTCTGTCTGTTTCCCTACGTAGGTGTACTCCTCGTTGTAGGAGTTGCTGCTCTTCACTCTTCTCTCTAGCGCTGCTCCCTTTTGCCTGTTACTTCTTAGGTGGCTCTTCTTCTGCGAGAACATTCAGCGTGTTCTCCTTCACAGGCAAAGGCCGCATTGACTTCTCTGTCCGAGGTGAGGGAAGCGGTGACGCTCTAGGAAAAGTAAATAACGTAGATGGGGGTAGTTGTGCAAGCACAACCAGGGAGGGTGTACGTGTACACTGCAGATATTGTTGTTTTATACACCCTTTTTCATTGGTTTTGCAGCACTGTCCCCAGTGCAAGGAATTCATTGTATGGCGTCTAAAATGTCTGTTGCTGGCGTTTTGATGCAGCGACCGCCTCCGACAGCACGAGTGTAAAACAAAGGAAACAACGCAGAACGGCCGACAGTGCAGTGGGCACTGACTGAGTAGATTATGGTGTGGGGTGCTGCTGCAGCTTCTGAGAGGGCTTGCACGCACTCCAGTTGCATGCTCTGGCAGCAGTGTACAGCTAGAAGAGAGAGCAGCAACAACACCCGAGGTTCGGCCATTCTGAATTGAACAAGGACACCACCAGACTGCGTTTCACTTGCTGGTATGCGCTTCGAGAAGCATAGAAGGCATAGAGGGGCTACGCCACAGAAAGAAACAGACTAAACCCGGCGCAGGCATGTGGAGAGAAGACAGACAGGAAAAGATAAAGATAATGGGGCGAAGACACACACAATGATAGATACAATGACAATCATGTGAATGTCACAGAGACGCATACGCGCAGACATTCAGTTTTTTGTATAATCACACTTTCTTCTGTTTCCTCGCCGTTCCTTTGCCTACACAAAACACTTCACCGTATATATCAAAACAGCCGCATTTAAGGAGCAGCGGCAGAGCCTGCAGTGCCAATTGAGCACTTCTCAGTCTGATTTGGCAATGCTGCTCTCTCTCTCTCTCTCTCTCTATATATATATATATATATATATATGTATGTATGTGTATATATATTATATATGTTTTTATGCATAGTGCCCGTACAATATGTACAATATGCATAGCTCCCCGTATTTTTATAATCTGTTTATATGCATATATTCAAGTTCGTCAAGTACTAGCGGCTCTTTGCATTAAATTATTCTGCTACAGCTGCTGCAGCAAATGTCTTATTCTTTGGCTAAGACATAAAACTCGCAGTGGCTGACTGCAGCAACTATGCTCAAAAAGGTGAAGAGACTCAACCTAAGCCTAAGGCAGTTTGTAGGCGTTTCTTCTCCCCATAAGGGATGCAAGAAACAAAATGGGGGGCTGTGTGCCCCCCCAATGAACAAGAGAAAGAGCCCTTCCCTGCTGCTGTCCTGCTGCAGCTGCTGCAGCTGCTGCTGCAGCTGCTGCTTGCGCGTACATAAGACGGCAGTTTGGTGGGCATGAAACAATGCTGAAACAAAATGTAATACCCTCCCTCCCTCTGTTCCTCCTTAGAAGGGGGGGCAATTAAAATTCAGTCAAGCCCTTTGGCTTCACTAGAAAGAGGGGCCTAGACTGTAGTCCCTCACTTCCCAACACCAACCAACAGCTGGTGCAGTAGCTGCTGCTGCTGCTGCTGCTGCTGCTGCAGCTGCAGCATCAGCAGCATGCGTCTGATACGGCTGTTGCTGCTGCTGAGCTAAACCATCGCCTTCACTCACTAGGCGTCGTCGTCCCTATCAGCTGCAGCATCTGCTGCAGGAGCAGCAGCAGCTTCTGGTGCTCCGGCAGCATCTGCAGCGCCTGCTTCTTCTGCTGCTGCTGCTCGTGCTTCTTCACGAGCTGCGTCTTCCGCTGCATCTTCCGCTCCTTCTGCTGCAGCGTAATGAGCGTCTTCTGCCGCTGCTTGGGCGCCCTCTGTAGATCCCCCTCCCTCTACCAAGCCATATGCCTCGGGGTTTTCAACATAGGCTGCGAGCAGCAGCAGCAGCAGCAAAGGCAGGAGCAACAGCAGGCTCAGCAGCAGCAGGGGGAAGCGGCAGCAGCAGAAACAGGCTAAATGTAAGCAGCAGCAGCTGCATCAACACAAAACAGCAAAACCTGTGGGGCAAACTATACACCCGTCTTACATGTTGCGGACGCGAGCGCTTCGGCAGCAGTCATGTCTTGCTGCAAGTACTGATCGTAGAAGTACTGCAACAGCAACAGCAACAGCAACAGCAGAAGCAGCAGCAGTGGGCGTCGCCGTACTACAGGAAGCATTACAAATGCTCTACAGCTACACTCATCGACTCCACCACCTTAATAAACAAACCCTAACAGGCTATGAATAATCAAGCAGCCCACTGCCTCATACCCCTTATATGCCCCCTACATTATATATGCTTCTATATATAACACATAACATATATATATATATATATATATATATTTGGTGTGCATACACCCCAACTCTATAAATACACCCCAGCAGAGTTCAAGCTATATATACCTCAATCAAGTCCCTCTTAGTCCAGCCCTCGAGGTATGCTTCGGAAGACAGAAATTCGGCTGTCTTTGACGACAAATAATCTGCCATGACGGCCTGCTGCTCCGCTGTCCTCTCCCAGTCGCTAGAAGCAGCAGCACCCTCACCTTCTTCCTGCTGCTGCTCCTGCTGCTGCTCTTGGTCCTGCTGCTGCGAATGCTTGTGCTCATCCTCCTCATGCTGCTCCTCGTCTTGCTGCTGCTGTTGCAGCTCCTGCTGATCAGCGCTCCCCAACTCCGGATGCTGCAGCTGCTGTTGCTGCTGCTCCCCAGGCGCAGCAGCAGATTCTCCTTCACCAAGCCCAGAGAAGTCCTCATTCTCTGCTCGGTCTTGCTGCTGCAGCAGCTGCTGCTGATGCATCTGTTGCTGCTTCCTCTGCTTCTTTGCCTTTGCCTTATTCCCCGAAACCTTCCTCTTCTTCAGTGCAGCAGCAGCAAGCGCGCCCCCGGGGGCCCCAGGCGCCGCCATACCTTGATGCCTGAAGGGTGGAGGTGGGGGCCCCTGGGGCCCCTGGCCATACCAGACACCGCAGAGGCCTCCTACTGGGTTCGGAGGAGGAGGGGGCCCCGGAACCTCTCCAGGGGGCCCCTGCATGGGGGGCCCCGGCATGGGTCTCGGGGTGCGCAAGATGAAGGGGGGCCCCCCCTCAGCATGGGGGCCCCCCGGAGCCACATGCCGTCTTCCCCTCAAGGGCCCCGCAGGTCCACACCCACTGTCTATACAAGAAGCAGGAGGGGGCCCGAATGGGGGCCCCGCTCCATCGTGCATAGGGGCGCCAAAGACAGGAGGAGGGTATTGCTGCATGTCCCGGCCCCCATCTCCCTGTACACCCGGATAAGTGCGAACAATAGGAGCACCTGCAGGTCTATGAGCAGCTGCAAATGGAGGGGGGCCCCCAAAGACGTGATGGGCACCAGGGGGCCCCATTGGCGGGTTAGGGGGAGGGGCCCCCACCACGCCTCCCCTTAACCCAGCCTGAGGGGGGCCACCAGGAAGCATCGGGTGTCTCTGCATATCCCTCGTTTGTTGCTGCTGTTGATCATAGATCCTCTGCTGCTGCTCCTGCTGCTGCTGCTGCTGCTGCTTAATACCCACATCAGCAGCAAAACGACGGCGCAGCTCGGGGGCCTCAGACATGAAGGCCCCCAGCAAAAGTAATGAGTGCGGGTTAAACTTGTGATAGGCTTGAGGAGGAATATGCAAATCCAAGCAAGAGGGGCCCCGGGGGCACCGCCCACCAACAAGAAAGTCTCTGCATGCGCGAGGCGGGGGCCCCACAGGGGCCCCAGGAGACATATCAGCAGAATGATGAGACCCTTGACTGCCTGAGCCAAGAGGGGCCCCCGCCCCGGGTGTCTCCCCAGGTGGAGGAGGCACTCCAGCACTCCCTGGGGATTCAATTGCTCGCTGCTGCTGCTGCTGCTGCAGCTGCGGCGGAGGCTGCTGCGGGTGGGGGTGGGGGTGCTGCTGGTGCTGCGCACACTCATCTGGAGGGCCCCGGGGCCTCCCGTAAGGAGCCGTCTGGGTCCAGCCGGCGGAGAGAAACCCTTCACCCCTCGGGGGGGGCCCCCAGGTGTTGGCGCTGTACTGCTGCTGCGGGGGCGGCGGCTGCTGCTGCTGCCAGCCTGCAGCTGGGGGCCCTTGAGGGTAGTAGTTGGGGGCCCCTTGAGGTGCGTACGCATGCGGTGACCCTTGTGGGGTGTACGGGTTGCCGTGGGGCCCCTCTGGGGGCCCCCTCTTCGCTCTTACCGTCGGCCCTTGAGCACTGTAGAAACCCTCTGGGGCCCTCAAGTGAGGGTGCTGATGAACAGGGTGAGAGAAGGGGGAGCTGGCTGGGGCCCACCCGTACCCCATTTGCATTTGCATCTGCTGCTGCTGCTGTTGCTGCTGCTGCTGCTGCTGCCAATCAAGACCCCCCACCCCTGGGGTCCCCATTGGTACCGCGGGTGAAGGCGCTTCTGTTGCTGCAGGCCCTGTTGCTGCTGCTGCTCCGGCTGCTGCTGCGGCAGCAACTGGTGCAGCAGCAGGCGTTCCGTTTGCTGCGCCTCTCAGCCGCCGTTGCAGCTGTTCTCTGCGGTGCTTCCACCTCTCTCTCTCATCTTCTAGAGGGGCCTCCCCCTCTGCTGGGGAAAGGCTACCCCTGTGGGGCCCCGGAGACCCTCTCCAGGGGCCCCCCTGAGAAGGCGAATGCCTCGACGCAGGGGATCGCCTCTGACGATCCCAGTAGTTGGGGCTGATACTGTGTCTGGCTTTGCGAGCTCTGCTGCTGCTACGCCTGCTGCGCCTGCTGCTGCTTCTGCTGCCGCTGCGGAAGCGGGGGGCCCCTTCTCTGTCTAGATCTCGTTCTCGTGTTTGGGGGGGCCTCCCCTCCTCGCGTCTGCGGCTGCTGCTTCGTCTGCTGCTGCTTCTGCTGCCCGGGCTGTTCGCCCGCAGCCTCCTGTGGTGCATACGCCCTGGCCTGCTGCTGCTGCGGCTTCTGCTGCGGCTGCGAGTAGCATGCCTCCCCTGCTCGGGGCCCCGGGCCCTCCAGTCTTCCCTTGGGGGGCTGAGAGACTCCCCTGCTGGAGCTCGCCTGTGGGTTTCCCTAGAGGCTCCAGAAGGGCCTCTGGGGGCCCCTGAGGCATCTCTGGGGGCCCCCCCTAAGGGGGCCCCCCGGCCCCCTTGGGGCCCCCTGCTGCGGGGCTCCTCGTATACAGGAGATGCAGACAGCTCGCTGCAGCGGCTGCCCCGCCGCCTTCGTTCATAAGAAATCTTCTCACCTCCTCTGGGCTCCCAATCGCTGCGTGCTTGTCTGCGGGGGCTGTAAGGGGCGTCCTTAGGTAAAGGGTTCCTACCCTTAGAGGGCCCCCACTCCCCCTCTGACTCCTGGCTGCTGCTGCGGTGTCTGTACCGAGTAGTACGGCCCTCTAGGGCCCCCCCATGGGCCCCATGACCTCCACCTCCAGAATGACGGGGGCCCCCCTCTCTAGCTCCTCGACCTCGAGAAGAAAAACCTGAGGGGCCCCTCTCCTCTGAAGTACGGGGCCCCCAAGGCTCCCCTCTACGATGGCGAGCTGGGGGAGATCTATTGCTGTAGGGCTGTCTTGCATGCACTCCCTTCTTAATATCTTCAGCAGGAGAAGCCGCTCTCTTCCTCGACGCCCACCTATCCCAGCCAGAGGAGGAGGGGGGCCCCTCGGGGCCCCCCACCTCGGGCTCAGGAGAAAGCCTACCCCTACCCCTTGCACGGGGGGCCCCCCTCTCTCCTTCTCGCCACTCTGGGTAACAACCCCTGGGGGCCCCCATGTGGGGAGAGTCATCTGCATTGTATGGTTCTTCGGGGCCTCGGGGGCTGCCTCTGGGGGCCCTGAGCTCTGCTGTACGGGCTCCCCCTCTCTGCCTCCGGAGATCTCTATCGCTGTTTCTATCTAAAGAGGGGCCCCTAAAGGGCCCTGGAGAGCAAGAGGGCCTCTCACGCAAATGGGGTATACGAGGGTTGTCCTGGGGGGGCCCCTCCACACCGCTACGGGGGCCCCGTGGGCGGCCCCCCCCACCCTCTGTAGCTGGGGCCCCCCCCCCAGTCATATCCCTAACGCGGCGATGCTCACCCAGGGGAAGGGGGCCCCCCAGGGACCCCGACTGTACCCTTCCGTGTGGGGGGGCCCTCTCAGATCCGAATAAAGCATTGCGAGCGGAACCCTGCTGCTGCGGATCCTGCTGTCGTTGCTGCTGCTGCTGCTGCTGCGAAGGCGGCAAAGCGTCTTGCCGCTGCTGCTGCTGCTGCTGCGGTCTCGGTGGCGAGGGAGAAAGTTCTTGCTGCTGCAGCTGGTGCTGCCCATGCAGCTACGGCCACACAAACAAACACACAGCAGCAACAGCAGCAGCAGCAGCAAAGCGTAACCTGCTGAGGGCTTCAACGGGCAGAACAAAAAACAAATTAAAAAAACATTAGCTGCTGCTGCTGCTGCAGGTGGCTTAGCGCCAGATGTACGTGCAACAGCAACCAAACAAAGCAGAAAAACAAGATATTGCATCAGCAACAGCCGCTATAGCAGCTGCTGCAGCGGCTCAGCAGCAGCTGCTGCTGCTAGCAAACACGTTGGTACGGCAGCAGCAGCAGCTGCTGCTGTTCAAACATACAAAAGCCATGCAGCAGCAGCAGGCGCAGCAGCAGCTGCCGCTCATTCACACCATAAACAACAGCAGAAGCAGCACTTCTGCCTGTACAGCACGCGCAGCAGCAGCAGCAGCAGCAGCAGCAGCAGAAGCTGCAACCGCCCATCATAGAACTATCACAAAGCAACAGCAAGCTCCAGCAGCCGCAGCATGACTACTAAAAGCAGCAGCTGCTGGAAGACCCGGAGCCTCAGCATACAGTGCAGCAAGAAGCTGCGCACAAGACAGAAAAAGCAGCAGCTGCAGCAGCTGCAGCTGCTGCAGCTGCTGCTACACCTCAAAGCACAATTATTTAATTAAATATATACATTAAATACGGACTAAGGAGGCCCCTTTCAGAGCCCCCCAGGGGCCCCCCTAGACTTTGTAAGGAAGCCCTCTTCATACCCAAAAGAATGTTTTAAAATAACTTCAAATGGGGGGCCCCCATTGATGCCAATATACGGGGGCCCCAGGGCGTCTGTAAATAATAATATAATATATATATAAATATATATCTAGAGCGGCATCACGGTACACCTGGGGGGCCCCCGCTTGTCCTGGGGCCCCTCAGTCTAGCCTGAAGCACCCCTCTACTTCTCCCCATCGAACTCACTTTGCCTTTAAGATTTTGCTGTCTTATGATGTCGCTAAGTGCCACATAAGATAGCTTCCTTGTACCCCCAGGGGCCCCCTGGGGGCCCCCTTGAGGGGCCCCCTGGGTAACAACCCCATGGGGGCCCCCCGATGCAGCCGATTCAGAGGGGGGGGGCCCCTGCCTTGCCGTCAATAAGGGTGAACCCCCATGGGGCCTCTCTGAATACCCTGATGAGGGCTCAAGAGTTACAGGTGAAGTCATAGGGCCCCCTCTTCGTCCTCCTGGGCCCATAACTAAAACTGTACGTCTGGCGACATCTCGTAGTGGCTGCCCATCACGTAGGCGGGGCCTCTCCTCCTCCCAGGGGCCCCCTGAGGCCTCTGGGGGCCCCCCTCTATTATATCTTCTATTCATGTTGGCGCCTAACAACAATAGAAAACGAGGGGCCCCAGAGAGGGGCCCTCCCCTTCTCCCTCAGAAACAATTAAGTGCTTTTGTAGCACTATGCAGCTCCTACGAAGTAATACAATATACTCAGAAACTCTAGATAAAACAAAGAAAATATACAGAGACAAAGACTCGGGGCCCCACAGCCCGCAGCAAACCCAAAGGGCGAGAGCCTGCTGCAGCAACAGCAGCAGCAGCAGCAGCAGCAGCAGCACCCAAGTGTTTGTGCAGCTTCAGCAGAAGGGCTTCAAGAAAACTTAAGGGCCCTAAAGCGTAAAAACAAACAAACAAAGACGTAAAACAATACAGACACAAGTGCGGGAGCCCAGCAAACAGCAACACCAACGCAGCAGCAGAAGCAGCAGCAGCAGCAGCAGCTGCTGCTGCTGCTGCTGCTGGTCTGAGGGAAGCCCCAGCCTTGATGCAGCTCCTTTAAGTAGAGGGACAGTAAAAGTTTTCTAGCATAATATTAATATTTTAATTTATTGAATTATAACCATAGACGCCATATAACAGCTGCAAGGGCAGCAGTAAAGGCTGTCTCTAGCTGCAGCAGCTGCTGCTCCAGCAGCTGCTGCTGCAGCTGCAGCATGAACACCAGCTGCAGCAAGCAGCAACAGCAGCAGCAGCTGCTGCTGTTCCTGAGTTGCGTAGAGTGTACGTTTTGTATGGCTTTTCATTTGTTGTTGGTGCTGCACTTTATAGTTATTCTCTTATATTTTATATCTTTTATATATTTTATATATTTTATATATATAAATATATATATTTATATATTTTTAAGAATATTTTTTCTGATTATTTGTCTAAGAGAGGCATGCCGTAATTACTTAGAGTTAATGCAAGGAGTTGCGGAGAAAAAGAAAAGTTTTAAAGATATTAATAAATAAATAATAAATATTTATATGTATTTTTATTATAAATGTTTATATATATTTATTTTAATATACATCCACACCCCAGGCCGCTTCTTCAGCAGAATATATATATATATATAT